ATAGCTATTATTTTTTATAATAATTAACGTGAGTAATATAAAATGGTAAGCGTGACACTAATATAATTATTATATATATAATAATTAACGTATTGAAAATTAGAAATAATTAAAAAAAGGTAAGTTATAAAATTGGAGAGCGTAAGTTTTTAATAAAATTGGAATCAATGTATTATATGCTAATAATTAACCAACGTTATTTTGACTACTGATTGGAAACGTCTGAAATTATGGTAAGAATAAATAACAGTCAATAGATTAAATAGATTAAAAGAGTGTATTGGATGATGTGTAAAAATGAAAGTGGACAAATACTCTAGGACGGAGGTAGTATAACTTTTTTATAATAATTAACATGAGTAATATAAAATGGTAAGCCATCGGAAGCTAATATAATTATTATATTTATAATAATTAATGTATTAAAAAAGGTAAGTCATACAAATTCAAAGCGTAAGTTTTTAATAAAGGATAATAAAGGTAAGTTATAAAAATGCAAAGAGTAAGTTTTTGAAAATTGGAAATAATTAAAAAAAGGTAAGTTATACAATTATACACTCAATTTAAAAAAAATAATTATGGTAAGAATAATTATACACCCAATTTCGAAAAAAGTTAACCCTTCTTATTATAATTATAATTATAATAGCCTATAGCCTATTACAATTAAATATACTATAAATATTCCTACAAATTGTACAATAATGTAGTCTATAAAGATGTCTTTCGAAATTTGTAAAGCAGTGATGATTTTTACCTTAAAATAATATAATCTCTATATTTTATTGCATCTCATTTTTATTATTGAAAAATAATTTGAAGTTAATAACATAAAAATGTCCCGCACAACGCACGGGTGTGATACTAATTTCAATGTACTTAAGAATTTGAGTGTGAAACTAGAATAAACAATTCTCCTTAAGTACTTGACTATTCCTATCTCTTTCATTATTACTCCTTTCTCTTTAAAAACGAGTGTCCATTTTTTATTACAATGTTTAATTATAATTATTTGAATTCATTTTCTTTGAAAACAGGCATGAAATTAAAAAATAAAAATTACTAGTAAATAATAGGAGAATAGTACATCTATTTCCAAATGGAATTTTCATATTTTAATACAGGATTAGAAACCTCAATCTACTTCCTGCTACAATTGGAAAAATCTGCTTCAAGTCAAAGATAAATTCAAGAACATGGACAAAAGTATGGAGTATTTTTTGTTGTCCAAGATCTAAACGAAGAGAGAAGGTGATTCCGTCGGATTGAGAACAATTTCTTCCGATTGAGAGCAATTCTTAGAGGTGCAGGGGCAATTCCAGATTGAGAGGTAGACACTTGACGGAAAAGGAAACGGAAGGGCAAAAATGAAGATTGAATCTAATTTGCTTAGATAACCCTGGGACTTAGTTGCAAAAAAACATTAACTTGATGATACTTAAATGAGGTGGCATTTGTGTACACATGTCAATTAAGAATTGGTACAAGTAGAGAGTGTTTTAAAACACCCTTTTCAGAAGGTGCACCCAAGGAATCGCCGAGTAAGAGGCTGGTGATGAATGACGACGGGGAGCTGCATTTTGGACCCATCGTCTTCAATGAACGAATCTTCGATGATGAGCGAGCCCTAGCAAGAATATAATTAAGCATGCATATATATACTAATCTCTGCAATTCCGATCCATTTATATATGGGAAGTGGTATTCTACTATTATGGAGTAAAAGGTAATGAATAATTGAATGCATACGGAGTATTTATTTGTTTACTTCTTTAAAAAGATTTACTCCCTACTCGGTCATTATATTGTTTACTTTACTTCAAAAAAAGATCCAACCTTGCGATTATTTTTTTGTACATAAAAATAAGATTTGCATTTCTAAGAAACTTAAATTTTATACTCTCGCTAGTCCTAAAAAAATTTCTGTTTTAATTTTTTGGTCAAACATCGATACACTTTGACCACGTAAAAATTGTGCGAAAAATATATTTAATTACTATAATATAAATTCATATAATTGGTTTATCATAAGATACAATTTTGATATATCAAATTCTTATATTAATTATTTATGAAAAATTTGCACAAAATAGGACAACACATTAGTCATTTTTGTGTAGTAAATTTGCATAGTTTGTGTCAAGTTATTTGAGAGTCTAGTATTACTAGCTCTTATTCAAAACTTGGCACACATAATGGGAGCCAATGTCACTAAGAAGTGATTTGTTTTCTAAAAAAAGGAAGTGATTTGTATTCAAGTGATCTCTTAGCATTCAAAAGCTTGAACTTTTAATTGAATTGATTCTTAAGCGTTGTTCAGGAAGAACATTTTGGATAAAATATTAACGGTGTAGATTAATTTAGAAAACGCTAACATTTTGGATTCATTTTTTCAGACATGGCAAGGGATTTTGGAAAATTCGGCAATGAAAAATGCTTCAAGTGATCTCTTAGCATTCAGAAGCTTGAATTTTTAATTGAATTCATTTTTTAGCCTTGTTTAAGAAGAACATTTTCAATTAATATTAGCATTTTGGATAAAATATATATTAACGGTGTAGATTAATTTCCGAAAATGTTAAAAGCTAGTGTCAGATAGTTTTTTTAAAATATTAACACTAATGCCAAACCTAGCCTTAACCAATTAAAATAAATAAAACGAAGTAGGTTTGAGGGTTTGACAAAACAATGTCTATTGACCAAATCACTATAAACGAAACATGTATGCATAATCAATTATAGCACCAATATGCTAATCGCGTGGGTATCAATTGGTGGAGGATTTTTTGATTATCTTTTGGAGTTCGTTCCTTATTACGGAGTATAAGTTTTAGTTATTGTGGAGTAATACTTAGAGACTTCTCTCTATTGGGAATGCAATGGAATGACACAACAAATTATTATTTTCTAGAATTTCTACTACATCACATAATTAAGGCCGGCGCACATAATTGGAGACAATGGGCTTCATCCCTTTGGCAAAGTAAAACCTGTTGGTCTTGACGAGCCAATTGCAGTAGACCTGGCCAACACATTGATGGTCCTTAGCATAAAGAACGACGAAGTTGTGAACTTTTAAGCCCGAGCCAAAACGACATCAGTACAGAGTCGTCCTCCACAAGTTGACCCGAAAGTCAAACGAACGAGAACCGTACTTCGAAAACTTCACCAGTCCTGGATCATTGTTTCCTTCAGAGGTTGGACCGATTGTGGGTCGGGATCGCATTCTAGCATCCCTACCATCTTTATTAAATATGGAGTACTATTTAAGAAATAAAAAAATTAAGTTATACATTGGAAAATGACTTACTCTCTCCGTCCCACAAAAAAGTTCCCGTTTTGACCATAAATTGGTCAAACTGTTGCACACGTTGACCTTAAATTAAATACGGAGTATAATCTAAATAAAAGAAAGCTAAAAAAATTTGAGATAGCAAAACTAGATCCTAAGATGAATCAAATTATACAAAATTTATTTCATAATTCAATATACATTTCTCATAATTTGTAGTCAAAACGTGTAAATATTTGACTAAATACTATTCAAAATGGGAACTTTTTTGTGGGACGGAGGAAGTATATTTTTATCCTATTTAGTGCAAAACTACAAATTTCACCTTAATTTATACATTAGAAAATCTGTGCAAATCCATTTAAGGGAAGTGGTATTCTATTATTACGGAGTATGGTAAAAGGTAATGAATAATCACATATTGAATGCAAATTAATTTGTTTACTTTTTAAAAAAGATTTGTTCCCTACTCGGTAATTGTTTATTTAACTTGAAATAAAAAAGATCCAACCTTGTGATTATTTTTTTGTATATAAAAATAAGATTTGAACTTCTAAGAAGATGATTTCTTCACATCAAAATAATTTTATCCTCGGTCCTAAAAATCTTTAATGTTTTGTTTTTTGGTCAAACATCAATCAATACACTTTGACCACATACAAATTGTGAGAAAAAATTATTATTTAATTATAATATAAATTCAATATAATTGGGTCATTATATTATAGAGTAGAGCTTTGATATATCAAATTTTTATATCATTTATTTATTTAGATTATATTTAATTTAAAGTGTGTTAGTGTTTGACAAAAAAGTCAATAGAAGAAAAGCTTTTAGATCTGAAGGGAGTATTTTTTTTAAGATATGTTTAAACAATGTCAGTAATATGGATGTAAATAAATTTATACCCCGGAGTATTAGATATTGATATAAACAATTTATTGTTGTTGTTATTATATCTATTTTTAAATATTATTTTTAAAATTTATTTAATATTTTCAATTTATCAGTTCTTTAGTTTTCAATATTGTTTAGGATTAATCTTTTTCTTTTTATTTATTGTTTTTGAATTTTATTTATTATTTTTTTAATTATTCATTGATTTATTTTTATGTATTGTTCTTATTATTTATTTACTATAATTATAATTATAATTATTACTCATGTATTATTTATTTATTTATAATTATCATTCTTATTAGTACTATTATTAATGTTAATTTTTATTTGTTTTTTATTTAATAATCTATTTAATCATTTTATAATTTTTTTTGTAACATTTTATTTTTTGTAACATTATTATTTTACTAATGACAATGATAAGAAAAACTTGATCAAAAAAGAGAAAGAAGAGAGCATGGACGGGTAGGGCGGTGAATCCCTGTGATTTGGAAGGATTAATTTGAAAGAGAAGAGAGTAATTGATGCTTTTAAACCAAACAAAGAGAAAAGATTCAATTTCCCTCCCCTCTTTTCGGAATGCAATTGAAAAGACAAGTGAAAAAATCTAGTTCTTTTTTTTTTAATTTGAAAAGACATACGAAGTAGGTAATACTCCCTCTGTTCCCAATTTGATTACAAATTGCAGGTTACAGAGTAAAATTTTCTACTTTTTGAAATTATTTTATTTACAAATTGGTATATCAATAAGATATATTATATAAAAATTGCATATTGAAAAACTACGTCAAAAGTTCTACAAAACAAGAGGTGACAAGAATATTTATTTTATCAAATACTTAAGGAAATCGCGTAAACAAACAAACGTTATCGAGACGAGAGAGGAAAAAAATTGTAATCTATTTACGGACGGAGGGAGTAGCAAAATAAATTATTCCTTCCATCTATCTAATTATTTTAAGACATATAGCAATTTATTTAAATTATTCCTTCCATCTATGATCTACTCCGTATCTTATTATTTTATTCTACTACATCACACAAGTGAAATATTCTAGCTAGCTAGCTATATCTAGTTCTCTTTTGAAGGTAAAGGTGCATCCGTCCAAGAGGCAAGGCGCTTATAATCGGAGCCAACAGGGTCATCCCCACTCGCAAAGTAGAACCCGTCGGTCTTGACCTGCCAATTGAGGTACTTCTCGCCTCCGAAATCGGGGTTCCTGGTATCAAAAACGACGACGTTTGCAAACTTGGAGCCCCAGTCAAAACGGCACCAGAAGAGAGTCGAAAACCATAGGTTGACGCGGAATTGGATCGTACGAGACTCAAACCACGACAACTTCCACGGACCCAAATCGTTGTCTTTGGATTTGCAGTGCACGAGCAGTTCCATGTGAGGTTGGACCGGATTGTTGTTCGGGATCATATTGAGAATCTCTACCTCCGTTTCCTCGTTGATGCCAATGATTCCAAAGGCCTGTCCGCAACAGATGAAGATGAGCAAGAGGCTGATGATGAATGATGGGGAGCTGGACTTTGAACCCATCATCTTCAATGAACGAATCTTCAATGATGAGCGAGCGCTAGAATATATGATTAAGCATGCTTATATACTAATCTCTGCAATTCCATTTATGGGAAGTGGTATTAAATTACTACGGAGTAAAAGGTAATGAATAATTGAATGCATATTTATTTGTAAACTACTATGTTTACATTTGTAAACTACTATGTTGAGTAAATTACATATATAGAACAAATTTTTAATTCCTATTTAGTAGACGTTTGGGTATGTGAATGGACTAGATTAGCCTTAGCTTCCAACAAACAATTCGATCAGCCCAATTTTTAATTGAAAAAGCCGTGCAATGTGCGAACCGAAAACGGTCATTTACCAAGCTTTTTTTAATGAATCTCTCCTTTACATATTTAGAAAATAATACGGAGTACTCATTAAATGATCCTACTTTTTAGGAAATAACGTCATTTTCCTTGAACATTTTTTTCTACATGTTTTTTTTAATTCATGGTCAAAGAGTAGAACAATTTTACCAAAAAAGTCATAATGTGACAATCTTTTGGAGATAGAGGGAGTATGATTTTTTAAAGAAATATTTGCACTAAATAGCACTAAAACTTAAGTCTTTTTCTTAAATAACATTTAAACTATTTTATTCTCTAAATAGCACTTAATAATGTCCATAATATCCAGTGATGACGAATATTTACTTGAATAATGACTAATGCATAATGACTAAAAGTGCTACATTGGGAAGAAAAACACATGTGGTGCTATATTTAGGGAAAGTAATTATGTTTTAGTGCTAATTAAGTAAATTCCTCTTTTTAAAGAAATATACATTAGACTATTTGCGGCTACTAAATGATGGAATAAAGTAAATTGACTCTTTAAATTATTTGCGTTTCTTGTAATTGTGAAATATTACGTGGAGTAGTAGTTAGTCAATGCAACTTTCGACGCTCATCATGGGTAATCTGGAAACATTCGCTCAATATTTGAAATATAGGGGTCAGACTTCGTACACCCGACTCCACTTACCCCGCAATTGGCGTTGCCCTTGACTCGTTGAGTATTGGGTTTTGTATTTTTATGGATACGTATTGTATCTGCGTGCATTTGATTGTTAATGTATATAGAAAGCATTATTCGATCGATCTTTAAAAATGGAAGGAGTACCTATTACTGTTAATACTTACGAGTAAAAATTATAGTGTTAACATATTCAAAGAGACATTGCACGTGGTATTACATATTGATATTTTAATAAGAATATATATTAAATTGGAAATCGATCTTTTAAAATTTGGCCCGGCCAGTAAATGTTGTAAATCCAGATTAGTAATTAAGTAGGAATTAAAAAAAATTCTTGGATTAAGAAAATGAAATTATTTACTGTATGGTAGTTGATACTGGCATAGTTAGGTATGGTATGAATGAAGTGATAGCATTTTAGAACCTCATGGATATGCGAAATATTAACTAAATGATCGATACAAAATTCAAAAATAAAATAAATTGCGAGGGAATTGTTGTTAGTGTTAGGTCCCAATAATTCAATAGTTAGTTGTTCATTATTTACATGTCTAAATTAAATATACTTATGTACTACTAGACTAGACACTGACGGCACATGGCTTGGAGACGGGGGAGGTGGCGCCGTTTCTGGCCAAGTCGCCGCCGATAGGAATCTTGACCGGACAGGTGACGTGGAGATGGTAGGGGTTGGAGACGTACCACCCGACCCGCCAGTTGACGCTCCCGAAGATCTTGACGACGATCTTGGCCTCGCCATTGTCTTGGTCGGGAAGGAGGAGCGCGCGTGTCCAGGGGCTCGCTGTTCCCGTAAAGGGGAAACGACCAGACGTCCTTGGCCCGGAGCCCCTGGTATACCGGGGGGAGATGGGTGTTGTACGTGATCCGCCGGTCCCGGTAGGTCGCGTACACCGTCGCCTCCCCGTAGTATATCCCAATCCGCCGGTTCCGGTTGTGATAGGCCAGCCTCACCTGCATTAACAAACAAAGTTAAAAACAAACATTATCACTTGAATATGATGAATTACAAATCATAAACAACATCCCTTTGCATTTTTTTTAATTATTTCATGGCTACTGACCAAGAAAAAAAACAAGAAATTAAAATTGAAAGTTGTAACCATGAATCTTCGATTAATTTTGTACTTTTAACTTATTACTGTACGTGTAGAAATTGATTTTTTCTTTTTGCACATTTATTCTAAAATAATGTCTTATTCAAAACTTTTATATCATGCGTGCGTAGATAGGATGACGTAAAAATAAAAAAAAATAGAAGAGTGATGTAGTACGTAGTAGTATATCTCAATTTCCCTTTTTATTGTCTAGATGTCTAACATCTTATATTTGACTGTTATATGCCTTTATTTTTTCCAACTTTGTCCATAAATGACAAATTCTTTTTTTTTTTTAAAAAAAAAACCTGAATTTAACTTAGAACAGATTATACTACTCCGTATAAATTACTCGTATAAAAATGGCAAATCAGTATTAGTGCACTACTCAAGCAATATCAGGAGAAGTAAACAAATAAAAAACGAAATTAATCCTCTTCCAAAAAATAATTAATGCACTACTCCAACAATATCAGGAGAAATAAACAAACAAAAAACGAAATTAATCCTCTTCCAAAAAATAGTAATAACAATAGCTTAATAAAAATTGAAAAAATAATACTCCGTAATTAACAATAGCCGTAAATAAAATTGAAAAAATAATAACAATAGCGTGCGTAATAAAAATTATTGAAAAAAAAACAAAGAGAATAGATCTGAAGTAGTGAAGGCTGAAAGCTGCGTCCCTTTTTAAGAAACTTTTAATTTCTACCGAAACCTAATAATGGGCTAATTAATGGGTCATTAGTATAACTGCGCTAAAAAAAGACGAGTAATACGAGTAATACCAAAAAAAAAGCCGACTAGTATTGAAACAAAATTCAAAAGAAAAAAAAAACTGATCGAATTGTATATATACGTACCTCCAGATCCGGGGAGAAGATGTGCGGGATGGAGAGGTTGAGACCCCGCACGGTGGCGCTCCGGACAATGAAGCTGGGCTTGTGCGGCTGGAGAACGGCCCAGACGATGACGAAGCCCACTAGCAACACGACGGCCTGGATGACGAGCCACCAGAAGAGGTGCCAGGCACGCTCGACCCACCTCTCCCGTCCGACGTCGAACCACCTCGTGATGGCCTCCCAAATGACTTCAGATGGACGACGGTCGTTGCCGGCGTGGCGATTCCGCTGCCCATCCATTGTATGTATATGAACACCGATCGAGCTACAGAGATCAAGGGCTAAGGGAGGGAGTAAATATAAATACAGAAGGGCTAGCTAGAGACCAGAGAGATAGATAGAGAGAGAGAGATCAGATATATGGGGGAATAATGCATGGGATATATCTGCAGTTTGGTGTTGCGTTGGTTTTATAGGGTAGGGTAGGCGAGGGGGTATAGTAGTGGGTCGTCTTTGCCAATATAATGGAGTCATATACTACTACTCGTTGCAATTCAAGGATTTGATGAAGAAGCTAAGGATTATATTAACAGTGACACCAAACAGAGTTTCTGTTTTGGGATACAACATAGCATATGTACTTTTTAAGGATGCAGGGAACCATTTTGAGAATGAGGAATTGAGGTCTTTTTTTTTTTTTTTTTGCTTCCATTCGCGTGTTGTTCAGACTGACGTACTACTCCAGCTGCTATATACACTAGGCTTTCCCGCTAGCTGTTTTGGCTTGGATGGGTGGATTATTATAATCTCTCTACACAAACAAACTTTCAGTTGCTCATTACGATGTTTGACTGATATTATTTTTAAAATCATTTTACATAAAAAAATAGTGTGAAATTTTAAGTTAAAAATTACATGTTAAAAAATTATACCAAAAGATCTACTATAAAACTAGAGGTGACATGACTAATTTATTTTATAAAGTGGATGACGAAAATAGACCAACAAAGTGAATAAAGGTTTAACACTGTGATTAGCAGATGAGAAGTTTATTTGTGGCCATATACGGGAGTATAATATATTAGCTCATTACTTAAAACAAATGCAGGTGCCTAATAAGTGCTTTATTTAAGGAGAAATTTACCTAAATAGGACTAAAACATAATGACTTTCCCAATATAGGACCAAATGTTTTTATTTCCCAATGTAAGACTTTTGGTCATTATCAAGTAGTCATTATTCAACTAAATGTCTATCATTACTGGACATTATTTCTTCCACCAGGTCATTATTAAGTCCTATTTAGGGAATAAAAAAGTTTAAGTCTTACATTAGGAAAGTCATTATGTTTTAGTCCTATTTAGTGCAAATTTCACTTATATTTTTAAGTTGGGTTTTTTGAACAACAACTCATGGAGCTAGTCAGTGTTTCACATTTTAATTTTAATTTTAATTTTAAGCCATGGACACACACTCCTCAAAAGATTTTTTTTTATTCTGATTTTCGAACGTAGGGTTCTAGTCGGGCCGCAATAAGGGGTTTAGCGGGAGATTTGGAGAAGTAGGAGTCGTTAATTTTTTGAATGGAGTACCGAGAGACAGTGGCGGACCTAGGGGGGTCCGGCGGTGTCAACTGACACCGCTGAATTTTTTTAAAAACAGTATTAGTTGTTGACAATAATTTTTTATATAATTAATAATAATACTTTCTGTTCCATAATTATGTTATTTTGAATTATTTGAATAAAAGTATTTATTACGCCATAATTTTTTGTCACTTCTTATTGTGTTTAAAAAATTAGTTATCTACCAGTGCAATGCGTATTAACTTCAATATTTTCTACTGTTATCATTTTTTATCATTTTTATAATTAATAATAATATCATTTAATTATTTTATTTTAATTATTAAAATATTAAAGATATAATTTATCAGTTTGATACTTTATTGTTATTTCTTATTATGTTTTTAAAAAAAATTTAGAGACGTTGCTCTCCAACTCTTTATCATGCCTATATATTCCACCTGAGAAGTTCTCGATCTTTTACTCTTGACACCGCTCATTAGGTAGTCTGGGTCCGACACTGCCGAGAGACCACGGATCGTCAAGCCTCTTTTGTTTTTAATGTGTTTATTCACTTTTTTCAAAGTTTTTCATACTTAACAATTTCATTCCATTCCATTATGCGCGTTAATATAACTTCAAGAAAAAATGAATCTCGATCAGATTAATGAATTCCGCTCCACGATTAGCAATAGTTACATTTTAGGCGATATATAATAGCCACACATTTTGTGGGGGCTTACGGCGGGGTGGGGGTGCAAGAGATGAGGTAGGGGGGTTTAGGGGGTGGGCTTGGAGCGGTAGGAACCGTTAATTTTACGAACGGAGCACCGGAAGCACCCCAAAATGACAGTGTCACCGGAGTGTCACCGTACTCCAGTGTCACTAGAACCGCACCGTCCCTAAAGTAACATTTTTGCAAAATTATGTATTTTGACATGGAACCTGGTGTAATAAAAATAAGAATATGTTTTTTCTTATTTCTCATTTTTATTATATAAAGTATTATTTTGACACCAGTTTTTAGGATATCAAAGGTGATGAATTTTTAATTATTGTTTTACTATTCATTACATTATGCACGTTAATATCTTTTGGTACTTAACAATTTCATTGCATAATGCACGTTAATAAAAGTTTTAGGCAAAAATGAAACAAACTTTAACTTCAATTATGAGCTTACTTTGAGCAAAAAAAAAGAAGAAGAATAAACCTAATTAAAGAAATCTGATTTTCAAACGAGGGAAAAGAAAACTAATTTGTTTTTTTGTATATGTGCTTATTAGTCTTGGCTATGGACTGGGGGGTCCATTGTTTTTGGGACGGGGGATTCCTTCTAAAAAAATGCAAATATTTTTATTTCATTAACTATTTAGGATTGAGTGGGGTCCATGAGAATAATATCTATATATATCCACAAAAGTAAAATAACTAGGTAAAAAGAATTAAGAATTACCCCATGTTACACATACTCCCCCGTCTCATAAAATCTTTCTCCTTTCTTTTTCATCCGTCCCACAAAACACTTCTCATTTTTATTAAAAAGTCACTTTTACCCTTTACTTTTTCATACACTACCTATCACATCATACCTTTTTACTATTAATCTATCTATTAAATCATACTTTTACCCATCACATCAAATGACATTTATGGAAATTCAATACCAAAATTTACTACCCTTAAATCACTCCTAAAAAACAAAAGTCTCATGTTTCACGGGACGAAGGGAGTACTTCTTTACAGAAGAACCCATTTATTTCGTAGTGAGGATGTGACTCAATCAATTTGCCTTCCTGATGGTTCTCGTATTCAGGCGAGCAAAGAAGTACAAAAATACAAAGAATACACTATATACACTAATACGCTAATACACCTCATAATTAATATAGTATAAATGAGAATAGTTACTACTCCGTATTTAATTTAAATATTTCTCCCATATCAAGAGGAAAAGTGGTGAAGGAAAAATAATGAGATACGACTAGTATTTTTCATCTACGTATTTATTTTTTATTTTCTTTCCACTCTTATTTTATTTCTCCTAAATTTTCTTTCTTTGGGAGGAGTTGTTTTCCGTAGTCTTAACATCCACATATTAAAAGTGAATCTTTTCACAGTTTTAATGAAATGACAAGTGAATATTTTTTCCTTAAGAAATCACTCTAAATATAAGTAAAACATAGAAAAAGTAGCACAATATGAGTTTCCTGTTTTTATTTTCTAAATTGGAGTTCGTACTGTAGTAATGTGACATTGTACATATGCATTTTCTGTAATGTAGATGGTTATGCTTGGTAATGTAAATGTATTTTTAACTCCTATTTCGGGAATAAAAACATAAAAATTTTATTTTGGTATAATTTCAATTTTTAGTTATACTTTAGTCTTTTTCCCATGTTTTTATTGTGTCTCAATTACTTCAAGCTATCAAATTTATTATTATTTTTAATTTAATTTAAATGCATAACTTTTAATGTTTGAAGTAAATTTTTATTGTTTTTGTGTTACTAGTTTAATTAAGTATATAAATTTAAATAAGTGTTATAAAAAAAGGTAAAAAATGAAGGAGGGAAGGGGAAGATAATTTCCTGAAAGGAGAGGGGAAATGGAAAGATGAGTAAAAGTGTTGGGGAATTGATGCGAGTCTCGACCTCTTTCCCCGATTCACACAACCAAACTCTTGTACACTCACACACACTCAATAATACAAAGACACGACTTTAGAAAAAGACTTTGTATTATATAGAGAAATGTACAAGAGAGATTACAATTACACAGGTAGCACACTTCACTCTTTGTATTAGGAACACCTCTCTGCACCTCGATCACTCACAAGCACTCTCAGGAAGCCTTCTTGGTTCTTCATTCTCTTCTTCCTCCACACTCCTTGCCAAATGAGGCATCAAGACTCCTATTTATACTCATCACCAAGGCTAGGCTTCTCTAGAATGTTCCACACATCTCTTTATTTCTAGAATCTTCTAGAAAATCTCCACATGCTTCCATAATGTTCTAGAAGAATCTAGAGGACTCCACATAGTTCTAGAATATTCTAGACAACACTACATTTTTCCACATGCTTCTAGAGACTTCTACACTTCTTTAGAAAGCTCTAGAATATTCTAGAAACTTTTAGACTATTCTACACTTTTCTAGAGACTTCTACACTTCTCTAGAAAATTCTACAACATTCTAGAGAATTCTACACATCTCTTCCAACTAATAGAATTCTCTAGAATCTTCCCTCTCACAAACCTTTGGAAATATTAAATTAATACTCCCTCCGTCCCACTCTTTTTGTCCACTTTCATTTTTGCACACCATCCAATGCACTTCTTTAATCCATTTTATCTTGTAATTTATATATTAAAAAATTATAAAAATTATATATTAATAATCTATATGTTAAGACAAATCAAACAAGATCACACATGACTATTTTTAGACTTACACATTGAGAGAATTTGATGAGTCAAAGTGCTTAGATGAACAGTTCCAAAAATCAAAACTGGATAAAAAGAGTGGGACGGAGGTAGTATCCTCTTAGGCTCAGTTGGAAGAATGGGGAAAAGGGGAAGAAGCCATTCGGCACACCCCATTGGCTTATGAAGCTCTGATGTGTCTGTCACCTAGAATCCTTGTATTTTTTATGATGTCAGAAGTATCTACTTATGATACTCCAGTCAAATTAAAAAAGAGATGGAAACCAGGCATGGTGCGGACCCTTAACTTTTTTTAACAAACGGAATAAAATTTTTACCGTTTTGATTTTTTTAAATGAAATTGTGATACTCTTAGGGTAAAAATGATTAAAGTAGAGTAAAATATTGAAAATATATCAAAGTAAGATTTAAATGTGAAATGTGGATCATTTCATAGTTTTCATGGAATGACAAGTGAATACATTCTTATAAGAAACCGTCAAAAATAGGAGTAAAACATAGAAAAAATATTAAAAAATGAATTTTATGTTTTTATTTTCTGAATAAGAGTTTGCACTGTCGTAATGCGACACTGTACATATGCATTTTTGTAATGTAAATGGTCATGCTTGGTAATGTAAATGTATTTTAACTCTTATTTCGAGAACAAAAACATAAAACTTCTATTTTGATATATTTTTAATATTTTAATTCTACTTTAGTCTTAATGTCATATTCTTATTGTGTAATGTACATATGCATTTTTGTAATGTAGATGGTCATTCTTTCATATTTCTCATATTTTAAAACACTTCCTTTTTCATTTTTTTTACTTCCAACAAAACACTTTCACTTTCTATTAAAAAACCGCTTTTACCCTTACTTTTTCATACCCTATCTATCACATCATACTTTATCTCTAATAATCTATCCATCACATCTTACTTTTACCTATCACATCAAGGGCAAAATTGGAAGTCAACTAAAATTTAATACTTTCTTATTTTTACACAAAGTCAAAATAAGAACACTTTTTCCAAACGGAGGGAGTATATCAATTTTATTATTGCTTTTAATTTAATTTAAATGTATAGATTTTAATGTTTGAAGTAAATTTTTATTGTTTTTTTGTTTTTAATTTAATTATATAAATTAAATTAAGTATTACTCCGTATAAAATTAAAGTAAAAGACAAAGGGGAAAAGGGGAAGATACTTTCCAAAAAGAAGAAAGAAAATAGAAAAATAAGAAAAAGCTTATTAGCTTGGAAGAACGAGGAATAGAGAAGCCATTGGGCGGTCCCCATTTTTTATGACGTCACAAGTATCTCCTCTCTACTGGTCTTCGGTGGTACTTTCATTTTTTTATGAGACTCTAGTCTGCCAAATTAAAAAGAGATGCAAACCAGTGATCTTATAGTACAATATTTAGGCCTATGTAAACCAGTCATGGTACTAAGACCCCAAACCATTTTAACATATACTCCGTATATAAAATTTTTCTGATTTTGATTTACTTTTGATTATAAATTAAATATAATCTAAATAACAAATGATATAAAAATTTAATATATCAAAATTATCTTTTAAGATTAATCTAATTATATTGAATTTATATTATATAATGAATTATATTTTTTCTACAATTTGTAATCAAAATGTGTAACTATTTGACCAAAAAAGTCAAAATAAGAAAAGTTTTTAGAATCAGGGAAGTACTAAACATGTCATATATTGACCATGGTATTCGCACAAGTCCAAGGCACAATGTAGGCGTGAGTTTTGACGGATTGGTTTTCATCCAAAACAAAGACAAAACGGAATTGGGTAAGTTGACGCATGGTATATTGACCATGGTAATCGCATGACTCCAATCGATCGACTAGTCAACAACTTACATTTATATTTCTATGATTTTTTTAACATATCATATATACTCATATAAATAAAGCAATGTAGTGGAGAAAGTTTTGTTTATTCGATTCAGTTTGATTTTCTAAAGTGGAAACCAAAACAGAAACCAAACAATAATGATTCGACTCGTTTTTTTACATTCAATTTTAATTTTATCGATTCAATTCTCTTCCTAACTCGTTTCGGTCGGTTTGTGATTTTCGATTTTCCCGACACTAGTACAATGTGTAAGTGAGTCTAACATGTTCACGTTACACTCGATCATTGAAAGACCCTCATTAATTTAATTTGCTGCCCACTATGCCTAAAGACAAGAAACGCTACTAGTGATTTACAACACGAAGCATGTCCACACTGACCGCAAAAGAAAAAAAGAGAACAGAAATATAGCTAGAGAAACTTGTTTCGTTAATGATACGGAGTATGTTCCACCCATTTCTTAAAAATTTCTCTTTCTTTTTTTTTGTTTTCCCCAAAATATTAATGTTTTGAAAAACGGACCGAACGTCGACCTGAACGAGGTAGTGGGTCAAGGGTTGACTGATCGAACCGGGGGTCAACGACCCGATCAACTATGTTTATAATAATAATATTGTATAATGTATATTAGATATTTTTAGTCAATAAAAATATTTTAGTTTATGTTATTATTTCTCCATCTATTTTTTAATATCTTTTTATATATGCTATTTCACACCTTCTATTTTTATTCTATTATTTTTATTACTATTAAAAGTTAATATTGAATCTCTAACAAATACGGAGTACTTAAATAATAAGGGGATACTCATATTTTCAAAAATTAAAGACTAGATATTTTATTCTTATATGCATGTGACATTTTAAAGTTTATATTTAGTTGATTAAAATGATTCAAAAATAAAAAAAAATAGCATATTGAATTATAATTATTAAATATTACTTGATTTTTAAAGACAACAAATTTTTAATTATAAAATATACAGAGTATATTTATTTTCAAATAAAAATTAAATAATTCTCAAACTTTAAAACTATTTTAAAACTTCATAAATACAAATTCACATGCACAAAAAAACTACATGTTTATTTTGTATGACCCTATTGTAAACCAGTAAATAGATATGATTGATACCTAAATACTAAATAAAGATTGAGTAGCTTACTTGGCCTAGAGCTTGCACTATTTTCTTGGTGGTGCTGGGTTCGATTCCCAGCCACATTTTCAGTTTTTAGATGTTAAAAATAAAATATAGATTTAAGCTCAAATCCGGGAACCGGCAGGGTCGATCCGGGTCACCCGGTTCACCGGGTTTGGATGGGTCAAATGGGAGACGGGTTTCTTTAGTGAATCGAACCGGATATGCTGCCTATTTGCGGGTTGACTTGTTGGACCAATCGGTCCGGTTTACAAAACACTGCAAAATATTTCAACCTTCTATTAAAAATCTATCACATCATATTTTTACCCAGTAGCGAATATAGGAAAAAATATGACAAGGGACAAACACACACCAGAGAGTATAGTGGGGGTTCAAGGAATTAAGCACTCCCGATTTTTTTTTAAAGCATTTGACAATGAAAAAAATAAATAAATTTAATTTCAAACACGTAGTAAAATAAGAAAGAATTATTTTTAAAATAGAAAAATAAAATATAAAATACAGAGTATATCATAATGATAATATAATTATGATATTTCGAACATTTTACCTGTATATCTTTTTAAGTGATTATTTTTACTTTTAAACTAAGATTTTCTTTTGTCAGTGGGGGCAAACTAATGTTTTGTACTGGGGTCGTTCTTTTAATTTTCTACAAAAAAAGTTATTTTTACACTGTATATTACAGAGTAAAAAAAGTTGACGGTCCCTGTATACATACATGTAGATCCACCCATGTTTTACCCATTAGATCAAAGATAAAATTGAAACGTCAAACACAAATATACTTCATCCGTTCCAAAAACTCATTCTCCTTTATTTTATTACATGTCACATAAAATCCTTCAGTATGGGAATATGCAGACTTGTCAAGGTACTGAATTAAGAGTATGGGAACCTACACTTCTGTTCATCTTCAGTGCACTTATTCTAAGCACAAACATTGAAATGATGCCTCAAATGACATCCTCTCATAGAGGACAAAATAGGGAAAACGAGTCCACGGGGAGCACGTTGATACAATGATTTAAATGTGGCTGTGTGTTAGTTAGTACACAAGTCAGGGGTCAAATCTGATTTCTAGACTTCATTGAAATAAGAAATAGTTGCGTCGGCGATAAAATGGTCGAAAAGACCGTTAAACCAGTGGATGATCAAGAAGGTGGACCGGTGCGATCACTGAACTCGCAAGGTTCAACAACAGTGATACAAAGGTGATTCCCTTTCTTCTCTTGTGCACCATACATAACAAGCATTTTACTTTTCAAAAAGCTAATAAGAGAAAAGGTCAAGAAGGTAATAGAAAAAAAAATGTGAAAGACAGCATCAACCAGGGGAATAATGTAAATAATTAAGGCCTCTTCAACCACTGGTGATATAGAATGAGATTCTTAACCTAACAAATAGAATCATAATAATCATGTTAGAATAACATTAGTATATATTTTCCTAAGAATAAAGCAAGAGTTGTCCCATGTAAACAAAACCAAACCAGACTATATCTCATTACACAGACATTATGTAAACTTCTCCAAGAAGTAGAGAAATAAAGACTCACATTAACAACGAATCAAAGAATAATATGGAAATGATAGCATTGTCTAACAGTGAGAAAACAAACTAATTTACTACTACTAACATATCAAAATGCTTGAATACGAATAAAAAAATTGAAATCAATGATACTAAACAAAACTACAAACTAATGTGAAACTGCATTTAAAAAAACAATCTTTTAATGACTAGGTAATCTTTGCCCTTTTGCGCTCAAATCTGCGTTGATGCTTTCGACGTGCGCTGATTCGTTCCAAGGATTATTACAATCACTGTCACATCGTCGTGGTACTTTCTCCTCATGCCATCCGGGATGCTCAACATCTCTTCCATGCTAAAACCTACATGGCAATAAGAGATCATTGGACGATTAGTGTAAAGACGAACGTAGATTATTTGGGTTAGTTATCATAAGGAAAGAGTAGATTAGCCGATTAGTGAAAAGAAGATTGAATGGAGTCTCATGCCTGCACTACTTGCAGCTCTCATAACAAGCTGCTCCACCAGGAACTTTGCCGGATCACCAAGAGTGTTGCTCAGCAAGTAGGAGTGAACAAGTTTGACAAGCTCGTCGTTGGTGAAGAAGTCAAATAAACCATCACTTCCGAGTATAACGAAGTGGTCAGCACTTGAAATTTCATGAACAAACAAAGACGGTTGCGCAGATACGTATGGAGGACTTATCAAATTGCGCACTTTAAGGATTCCCATCAATGCCTCATTCATGTTTTTCTGCAACAACAAAGAACAACACAATGGTACATAAAAAAAACAAACAGTTAACATATGTTTTCATATTTCGTAATCATAACATATTTTCCTGACTTGGTATGGCTTAGCACATCAGTCGTTTCGCACCACTTTGAGTTAAAAGACAGTCAATTGGTACCTTTTTCAAGTAACCAACACCAAGAGCCCGAGTGACTTTGAGCTTCCCCTTAACTTTTCCAGCAACAATTGGTGAGGGATCATCAGGATGATCATTCAAGAGTAAATTTCTCTCAAGTTCATCATCAACGGTGTGAGTAGGCGTGAGCTGGACAGCTTGTAGCCCATTGCCATCATGTGTGTGAACGCAGTCATTGTACGTCGCCAACACTGCGCGACTGTCACCTAGATTGAGCACATAAATGTTCTTTCCATAAAGAAGTGTCAATAACACACAGCTTCCTACGGATACCAGGTCAGGACGGTCCTCCATTTCTTGTTCAACCACGTAGAGGAAATCATTCTCTGCTTGATTTAGTGCACTCTGGAGGCTATTCAAGACCTTATGCTCAAAAGAGTCACCCAATTTCTCCCATTCCATGGAGGAAAGTCCAATGGGTTTCTTACCTAGGGTTTCATCTAGGGCTAGGCGACCCAAATCACCTCCGACAGACTCCTGATCAAGTTCAGAATCCAACATGTTCAAGTAACACCTGACTCTCTCATAGAGAGTCCCAGCAAGAAAATCGGCAGCATCTCTCCCATTGAACCCATCATATATGCCGCAGAAGAGCCACCCGTTCTCCTCGGAATGGACAGCCTGAACTCTGTCTTCACCAGCAGCACCGCCGGCAACCTGAACATCCGTCGAATTGCTCAAGAAGCTGTCGTTGTAGGATTCGGGCGAGGAAGAATTCAGGCTGAAGTTTGAAAAACTGCTGGGCAGGGAGGAGGACAGGAGGGTGGAGAAGGAGGCGGAGGAGGGGATGCGGCGGAAGGATTTGGGGGAGTCCAGTGCGGGGAGGATCTCGGTCCCCATCAAGCCATTGCAGATGTTGGTGTTAACCAGAGTGGCGTTGGCGCTGAGAGCGGCCCCGGAGAGGCAGGAGAAGGAACTGCTGGCTCTCCGCAGCCGAGGAATTTCAGATTCGCCAAAGGAGCCATTGATGCATCTGTATCCGAAACTTATGTTGATTTCCTGTCCCGATTCCTTGTGGGTTTCGCCGTGCATAGCTTCTACATCCAGAAGAAAGAAAACCACAAATAATAATATAAAAAACACACACGCCAAACAGATTAAAGAAAGAAGAAGAAGAGGGGATACCTGGAGGAGATGGAGAACAGGGGAAGGAGGAGAGGAGGAGTAAGCGGGTGAAGCTCAAGAGAGGAGGAGAAGCACGAGGAGGGAATGGATGCGTTTGATTGGGTAGGCCATCTGGTTTTAAGGGGTATCACATTCACACAGGTCAAGTAGGACTGGTATTCAAATTTGTTTTGGGAATAAGAAAGACTTGGCAATCCTTGTTCCGTTCGGTTTCGAAAATGCCTACTCGGGTGCTATTACCTTTTTTTTTTTAAAGTTATCTGATCATAATTCTAAGGAAAATGCTAGGGATACACCAAAAGTGTACCCCAAACATCCCCACCCCCTCCATCACCACACAAAAAAGCTAAGAAAATTTTAAAAAAAAAGTAAAAAATAAAAAGAAAATAAAATAAATGGTGTAGAAGTGGTGTACATTTGGGGTACACTTTGGGGTACACCAAAATTTGGGGTACACCTTTGGTGTACCCCTAGCATATCCCTAATTCTAATTGTTAGCGTTTCTAGAATAATTCTACAGTATTAAAATTTTATATTCCTTCTGTCCATAAATGATTTAGAGACTTTATTATTAAAAAATGACAGTAACTTTTGTTTATTTGTGTGATTTCATTGATTATTTGAATAAATAAAATATTCATGTCACCTCTTGTTTGGTCTCACTTTTGATGTATTTTTTAAATATATAAGTTATTTTTATTTAAATATTAATCTTTAAATAAAATGATTTAGGAACAGAGGGAGTACAAAATACTAATGCAAATAAAAAATATTGTTCCCAAACAAGACCTGTGTATATCAGTATAACAACATATATACTATAAAAATATTTTACAATTTCAACATGTAGTGCCACATTATTACAATGCAAAGTTTTGTTTTTATGTTAGAAACATAACATTCATAGTATAACAAATTTTTTGTTTTGTATTTCAAATTTTCCTTCTCTAAACCACTTTTTTAAAATTGACAAAATAAACATCGATCTTTAAAGTTAAATTTTTTCAGTTTCCTTAAAAGTTAAAATAATGTTAAAACATAATGTAATATAAAAAACTTTACAATGTCAATATGTGCGTCACATTATCACAATGTAAAATCTTACTTCATTTTTTAATGTTAAAAACATAACATTGTTATTTTTAGGGATAAGAGCTATGCTTATTCTGATTTTGAGTAGTTTTTTTACTAGAATCTAATACTCCTTATGTTCTTAAATTATCATCTTATTTTGAACGTGTAAATTATCATCTTTTTTTAATGGTTTTATTTACAAATTACTATAGATTTTAAAAGTACAACTTGCATATTTACAAATAATATACTCCTTCCGTCACAATTATTACACTCTTTGAACTATACATCGAATCCTGTGATTTTTAAAATTATTATTAGTTGGTATAAAAAAATTTTTAGATATTTAAAAATTATATCAAAAGTTTTACAAAACAAGAGATGACAAAAATATTTTATTTTATCAAATGACCAATAAAGACATGCAAAGAGACAATAGTTATCGAGATATCGTAATAGTAAATAAATATTGTACTTCATCTGTTCTATATCTTTCGTCTCATTTTCACTCTTGTGTTCAACAATTTTAAACTTTGATAATATATTGCGAAAAAATATACACGGTTGTGATATAAATTTAATATTAATATATTAATTTTGAAACGTAATTTTGAAATATCATATTTTTATAGTCAATATTCATATACAAATAAAGATATTAATAATCAAAATTTTACAGTAAATTTTGCACTAAAATTACTAAAACATACTTTCTCCGTCCCACAAAATATTACTTATTTTGAATAGTATTTGGTTAAAACATTACACACTTTGACTACAAATTGTGAGAAAAGTATATTGAATTATAATTTAAATTTAATTTAATTGGATTCATCTTAGGATCTAATTTTGATACGGAGTATATCAAATTTTTATAACATTTCTTTATTTACATTGTATTTAATTTATAGTCAAAGCTTGTAACTATTTGATCAAAAATACATCAAAAATATCATTTTCAAATGTAAAAACGGTGAAAAATTAAATTAAATGGAAAAAAGAAAGGATAAGGAACATAGGAATTAGGGATTAAATTATTTGAGGAAGTAAATTACTCGTATTTGAGGAGAAAGGGAGTAAAAAAAACTAAACGCGTAATTTAGAGATGAGATGGAGGGAGTATATGGTGAAATCGTGCAACTGAAATCCTGAAATCGCGGGGGGACGGGAGAGGGATTTTTTAAATAATCATGTCTAAGGCTAAACCTTTCCACGCCATTGTCGACCAATCTGTCCTCCTCCAGAAGCGTATGGTGAGTAACCAANCCCCCCCCCCCTTCAATTACACTTAAAATCGTAGATGGGAGTATTAAGCTGCTCGTAAGTGGCATTAATGTGTGTTCTTGTCCGATTTGATGGAGTATTAGCGACCCTCTAACCATGTGAATTTCTATTCTTGATGTTAATTAATGTCTGTGCCCAGTCTTGAGGGGCATATTAGGAAATACCAATTATTATATTAGGAACATTGAGGGTAGTATTGTCAAAAAATGTACCTTGCTCTCTTTTCTCTGAACTGTGAAGAAGTAATTGCCTATGTTTATGAATCCCACAGTATATTTGCCTTGTGTCTAATGAATATATGTAACCCAAACCAACCATATCATCATACAGATGATCCCCGAGAAGTATGCGAAGAAATACGGGGATGAACTCGGTGACACGGTCAAGCTCAACCTCGCCAACGGTCGTGAATGGGAAGTGCACGTTGTAAAGGCCAAAGACGCCGTTTGGTTCCATCGCGGTTTGGAGAGTTTCATCAAGGACAACTCCATTGGCATTCACTACCTCTTGCTCTTCAACTACGCTGGAAACTCGCGCTTCAACGTCCATGTTTTTGATCTCACGGCTACGGAGATCGACTATTCAGGTATGGCCCACGATGATGTCTCAGAGCACGCGAGAGAGTAGCAACGGTGGGCATTATCTTTATCTATCTTAAACCGGTGGTGCTTTAATGGTGATTATTGTTATTATTCTTATTGTTGTCATCATTGTTATTTACTCTGTATTTTAATTATTATTATTATTATGAGATGGAAATGTATTATAAGATGTTGTGGTTGCTTGTGGAAATGGGAGGATTAGAATGGAGGAAATGGGTCAAGTTGTGTATTGGGGACAAGGAAAACTTGGGGCCATGGTTGGATAAGATAAAGTGTGTGGTTTTACTCCTTCCAATGGAGTTTCAAGAATCAGGAAGAAAAAAAACTTCACAGACACAACAAAATGAGGCATAAATCCATGAACCATTGCCCAAGCAATGCTTTTACTCTTCCCTGTTTTCTCCCCATGTATGAAGCAAAGTATATCTTCTCCCTAAACTTCAAGCCAATTGCTCATTTGCTCCTCTTTAAATCTGCACCCACTGCCTGTTGAAAACAAAACAGGACACACATTATCTCTGTATCCTATAGCCAATTAGCCATGCCTGAGCCTACATTTACCAGTAGTGATAAAAACAACAAGACCAAAACACTTGGTCAAGAAATCATGGAGGCCGTCTTGGCCATGACGAACCGAATCAGTCATCATCATCATCATCATCAGAAACATGGTCAGAAGGTGGGAGACCCAAGCCAGGCCGGGGAGGAGGACGGCCCCACAAATAGCGTCATCACGCTAGCGGGAACCAACACAGGGGCGAGCATGAAGGGCGAAATGGGCAAGAAAATGTCCGGGGCCGAGGGCGAAAACGAGGAGGAGGAGGAAGAGCAGCTGAAAACTTATGTGAACAGCAACTTCCAAGCCATAAATAACTCCATCATGTTAGGGGGGAGCTATAGCTCCAATGATCCAGGAGTGCACTTGGAGGTTGTGGACTACATGGAGGAGGAGGAGGAGCCTCAGCCTGAAAAGACTAAGAAGAAGAGGAAGAACAAGGGGAAGAAGATTGTGGAGGAGAGCTCTCACTCAAAGGAACAGAGGGAATCAGACTAATTAATTTAGAAAGTATATATATATATATGTGTGTGTGTGTGTGTGTGTGTGTGTGTGTGTGTGTGTGTGTATTTATACATACATATTTTCAGAACTTGTATGTTCATCATTCTTCCACTTTGGAAATGTTATGTTGTGTTTTATTATGCAGTTATTGAGTGTTTTCTTCTTGAAATCTGTTTATCACATTGTTGAAATGAATTAAAATAACATTTCTACCTATGTTTTTCTAACATATGATCTTTCAAAAAAAAACATATGCATTTTATAAATCCCTCCATTGGAATTTTGTTGTCTAATTTTTCTTTTGGGGGTTCTACGAGTACTCCTCCCCTTGTTATATTTACTGAATATGGAGCACTTTATTGCAATAGATACAAAATACTCAAATATTACTCTCTTTGTCCAAAAACAAATTTTATTATCTCTTTTAATAAAGTGAAAATTGTGTAAACAAACATTAGTACTGATGAGAGAGAATAGCCATGAGTCCGAAAGAACTCCATATATACTCAAACACTTTGGAACGAATAAAAAAATGACAAGTCTTCCTACGATAGAGAAGTACTAGCATTATAGCAACAAACTTACTCCAATATATTCTTTTGTCCCATTTTTTAACTTGTAGTATTTTGAATTCTTTTGACACTGACATCCAATGTTATTATAATATGACATTGGGTACTTATAGTAGTTTGTTAACTTGAAAGTGTTTCTTGCCCCTTGTTCATTGATTAGCAACAAAATTCCTGCAAATCAGAGAACCATTTTGGGCTGGTAGAATCGTAGTGATAGGGGGTAGGAACCATTTTGGGCCCAACCGAGTATCATATTTGAAATGTAAAAAAATAGTTTCATAGAGAAAATCTACTTTAAATTTACGAAATTCAACTGCAGTAACACGGAGAGAAGGGTTGCAATGACAATATTAGGTTAGGAGACGCGAGAATGCACCTTGTGAATATGTATGGTGGAGGCTCAAGCATCCTATTTGAGTCTTAGAACATCGACTCATGCCCACCTGGAAATCTAGAATGCCAAAAAAAGTAAAATGATATTGTCACTCCCATTTTTGTACTGACATTAGAAAATGAATTATTCACCTCTCTCATATGTGTAGTATAGTACCAATAGCAAAAGTAGAGTTGAAATACTAATTTTCATAATTTTTTTCTTCTATAAACTATAGACTTCAATTAAAAACTTCTAGGTGCGGTTTATAGATTCTAGAATCTAGACTCGAATTATCTGAGTTCTGTTAAAATTAAAATAAAAAATATTATTATTTATTATCATCATTTTTATTTACTGAATACCATAAATGAATTTTATATCCATAAATATCAAAACTCATTTTTTTTTCCTCATCAAACAATCTCTAATTTTTTTGTAGAGTTTACTTACAAGTATTTCTAATCTACTAGTCAACAGATTATCATTAATTACTTATTAAAATAAAATAATTGAATCATTCTTATTTTATTATACCTTTACATTTATATGTATAGTATTTTAAGTTTATATAAAAATTTACATAAACTAATTAAAAATAATTGAAAATATTTTTTTCTAAAATCAGAACTTAAAAAAAGTGTACAAACTAGAAACACGCGTATAAAGATAGTACACCGTAATAAATAGGCCCTGAGAACACCTTATTCGCCTCACCGTCCATTTCAATTCTCACTTCAATCATAACATCTCCTCTTCCAACTTGGAGCGGCTCCTTTTTCCCCCACTAGAGAAAACACAGTGAGAAACCGGAAAAAATGGCGAAGAAGGTGGACTCAGTCGGATTTCTCAAGGCGTGCAAAATCCTCATCATCGCGGTGCTCTTCTCGGCCGCCGCCGCCGTCAGAGCGGCGGATGGAGTGTACGAGATCGGATACTTTCCGATGTCAGCATCTTCCGCTTCGTCGAAGATCTGCGAGGGATCGATTGGGGATTGCCTGAGCGCGGACGAGTTCGAGCTGGATTCCGAAAGCAACCGGCGCATTCTAGCGTACCGGCGGAAGTACATTAGCTACGGCGCTCTTCGTCAAGGCACCACCCCTTGTAACCGACGGGGCGCTTCCTACTACAACTGCCACACCGGTGCTCCGGCCAATCCCTACACGCGCGGATGCAATCATATCACCCGCTGCCGTGGTTGAATTTCTAATTTCCTGGTGCTTTGCTTTCGTTTATGAATTGTTTATCATGATTATTATTGATTTCATATATAAATTCTCGTGGTGAAATTGGTGCTGTTAGCTCTTCGGATTTGTGTTTTTTTTCTTTCCACGGGGATTATTATTTGTATAAATGGAGGATATTAATTAATTTATCAATCTCTATCTGCTTTATAATTATATATCAATCTGTTTGAAGTTTGGTATGAACTTCAGTTTGCTGCTCCTCCTCTTCGCCGTCGCGGTTCCACCGACAAAACCCCCACCGTGTCGTCGTCTTCAGTCGCCGGCAAATGACCCGATTTATCGGCCTGGATCCTATCCGGCACCGGCGACAAGACTCCGGAAATAAATAAATCATGTGTGTGAAGTCTTCTGGAAATTATAAAGTGGACTAATATTGCCAGTTCATAACAACAAATTCTAGCTGTCATTTTGTTTTTGTTTTATTTTATTTTTTTTGCATAAAATGTCGCCTCCTACTTTTTGAAAGTTGTGTAATGCGTGTGGGACCATAGAGAATAGGCCGATTCAAAAGAGTATGAGTCAAATTTAGTGACTTTTACTCGGTAATTCTTTACACTTTAATTTTAAAACTTTAAACTATAGAGGATAGACACAAGATTTCAATGTTCAAATTTAAGTTTTTGGACTCCAAATACTTTTTAAACGGAGTAGATTTTACCTAGTTAACATTTTGAACTTTGGACTTAAGATTAAAGACATCTGGATTAATAGGCATGAGCTAACCCTTCGTTTTCCATACTTGTTCGGTGATGAGAATTAGTAGAAGGTTGGTCCAATATTAATTACGTCGTTACCGTGGTCGACACCTAGAGAAGGAAGCCCAAACACCGAGACAATTTCATCAAGGCCCAAGACTGGTGCCCGTGGCCAATGTCGCACCCGGATTGTAGGGTAAAAAGTTAACTACTCTTAAGATTGTAGATTAACCCCACCATCAAGCTTGAAACATGCTTAACGTTTCTATGTTCTTGTATGAGTGGTATTATTAATCTATTTGAGCTCTTTAACACGGGGCATTTTAGCCACGACGCGCGTATGCATGTGTAGAGCCAAACTGATGGCGATCGCACTCATATGCACGTTTTTGCAATCCTCATAAAGCTTTTACATTCTCTCGCTTTCGTAGTAGAGCATTTATGGGGTACGTTCACAATGTGATATGAAATCTCACATAACCAACAATTTTCTTATATTCAACAAGTCAACTTTGAAAATTAATTTCTCATTCATCTGTTCACTATTTTTAGCATATATTATATCAATACATCCATCTCATTTAAGAGAACATACTTCTATTGAACAAAAATCAAAACACTGATAATTGATAATTCTGTTCAAAATTTGTCAATTGAAGTGGTGGGAAGGATGGTGGTTAGACATGTCAGTGGGTTGGAATTAGATCTTAACTCGTATAATACCTGCAAATTTTGAGCGGATTTAGGAATATTAAAAATACCGTTTACCCGTACTCAAAATTGTACATGTTTTTTTTAAATAAAAGGTCGGGTATAGAACTAATAGTCCCGACCCATTTAAAACTCATACCGGTAAAATAAATAATGCTCTATATTAAATATTACAAAACCCTACCCACTTCTTTGCTACTCCCCTTCTTCCCTGGCTGCGTGGCTACTAAATAAACTTGTATTCATTTCACCATATTAGAGGTACGTACATGTGGTTTATGGAGGGAGTAAATGTGACAAGAAAGTTGATTATGAATCTAAGATTTTTGTTATATATAGATATTTGGTAAAGAAGGCTATTTTGTTGTAGTAATGCGTTAGTCTTATTTTTATTTGTATTCAATTAAGATGTTTTCATTCATAGTATGTTCACTGTTTTTTTAATTATAGAAAAATAACAATCAATTATTATCACGGATATACCCCATCTGATACCGAGACCCAATGGGTCGAGGCCTAAGGTTAAACTTCAAGACCCATTGGGTAAACCTGCATAGTTCAAGATCATTTTTTTTAAAATACGAGTATAGAACACTATGAGCTCGCCCGAACCTAACCCATTAACAAGCTACCCGAACTCGTCCATAAGATTTTGCAACATGAAGGAATCTAAGATTGGCTTATTAAGAATCTAAGATTTTATTGTAAAGAAGGCTGATTAATTAAATAAATGAAGAATCATTAATTTCATAGGCAAGGTTCCCATTACATTGGAAACCAATATCATGAGATGACTAGAAACGTTATAGTGTTCCATTCGTAAAATTTAAGAATAGAAACCGTCAATTTTACGAACGGGGCACCGGAGCACCGGGATAATTTCATAACACATTTTTGTGTTTGTTCCATTGTTGTTTTTGTTAGCGTCCTGGATCACGAGAAGCGTTTCACTAGGGTTTTCTTCTTCCCCTTTTCACTGCGTCGCGGCATTACCAACCAACCAATCAAACCAAATGTTGCACTCCCGGCATCTGATTCGGAAAACCCTTACCACCCAAATCCCGGAGATCCACCATCTCCGATCTCTGTCCACCGCCGCCGACGTCCCGGCGCCGTTTCACAAGAACCAGCACCAGCAGAACCACAGCTTCCTGCCGCCCAACGAGTACCTAAACTCGTGGAAGCCCCCGAAGGATCCTAAAGAGGCGGAATACAAGCTCGCCCTTCTCCGCCGCGACTATGCCAAGAAGGTCAAGGAAGTTCGCAAGGAGTACATCAAGGAGATGGAGGTCATGCGACTCGAAAAGCTGAGGAAAACAGAGGCCAAGAAGGAAGCTATGAGGATCGCCAGTGAGGAGAGGAAGGCGGCCAAAGCCGCCGAGAAGAAGGCTAAGGCCGAAGAGAGAGCTATCTTTGAAGCTCAATTCCGCCAAACCCTAGTAAGTGAAATTGCCATCTTTCTTTTCACTCAATATGGACTATCCTGTCATAATTGAAGCAGTATAATTCTTTCACATTGTCTGCAATCCAATTTTCTAACTTTTTAGTAGAGTTACCGAATTATTTTTGTGCTTGCTTGTTCTTATTTCATCATGATTTTCAATTAATGCGACCACACGTTAGAACTTAGACGCAATTGCCTCATTGGCAACAACTTCAATTTCAAGTTTTAGAGTTAAGAAACTGCTATCTAATTTCGACATTTAGCATTAGTGTTTTCAAAGCTAATCTTTACCTCTAATTTCCCCCCAAAACGTTAACGCTATATGAAAATATTGTTCTCAAACAAGGCCTAAGAGTGAAGCATGGTGCACTCTAAGATGGGTATCACCATAAGAGTGTGATGTGGGTGGCATATTTGGCGAGGAACATTAATGGAAGGGCAATTCCAGGAAGCAAGAAGGAGGTCCCTTTCTAAGCACTTGGTGACCTATATCTTGTTGTTTGTGAAGTTTTACACCAAATGCTCACATCACCTAAGTGATTGAAGAATTTGTTTATAACTTCAACGCTGGAGACGTATGGAAAAGGCTGGACTTTGTTTGGAGAGGCTGTGCTAAATTTAGTCAAACCAACGGACTCTACAAAACATGTTAGAATGATTCATGATTTTTTTTTGGTTCTATGAGGGAGTTTTTGTTTGGAACGGAGGTAGTAATACTCTGTTAGTGTCACATCTGCATCTCATTAGTTACCTGAACGCCTAAATTGCAGAAAAGTTGATTGGGGAATAAGCTATTTTGTTGCTGCTACTCGCGGCATTAGCTTTGCTCCCTGTTATCTTCTTAGGGACATGGTTTTCCATATGGACAATGGAAAGATTTTATTTTTCAAACAAAAAAAACTCCGGCTTCTGTCTTTTTGAGGATGATTATCAGTGCTTTGTTTCTTGATGTATGTAGGCGAAAGAAAGACAAGAGAAGCTTGAATATTGGAAGATGAGAGAAAAGAAATTTGAAGAGAAGAAAAAAGAAAAGAAAGAGCTTTTGCATAAAAAAAGCTCAATGTGGATTGATGAGGATGCTTTGGGAAAAAAGGCACTTGAAGCCATTGTTAGCCCTGAGGTCTTCTGATTTTTTTTTTGGTATTCATCTTAAAAGAGTGGGCTTGTTTGTTCTGGGACCAGGCGTATCATGTTGGTTCTGAAACTGGTATGAATTAGTTACTACAGAGTAATATGAAAGAATTTATTATAAAAAAAATGACCGTCTTCCCCAATCTATTGTAGTCCTCAACGATGTTGAATAGTAAGGTGTTGATTTTGAGTACATCTCTTATCGTTGAATAGTAATGTGTTGAAATCATGTTCATATACAGTATTAATTACTAATAATTGGTGGCGATTTAGTCATGTTTTGAGTTGTGTGTGTGGTGATCATTTGCAACGATGGTGGCTAGAATGTGGTTGTTGCCGTTGATGGCAATGTTGGCGATCAAGGACGAAAGCAATTGATTGTTGATGTTTGAGGTGGTCAATGGTAGTGGCGGCATCTTTGGTGGTGTGGGTTGGCGGTGATAGCTGTTGGTGGTGATGTTTGCAGCTAGCGGCTTATATGGTTGCAGCTGGTGACGGGGGGTGGGGGGGTGGAGGATGGAAGTGGGAACCTAGAATGGGTTTCATAAAGAGCAATTGGCAGCATTCTGGGCGATGGTGGCAGCCAAAGAAAGGTGGTGTCAAATTAAATAATGCTCAAACAAATGAAATCTAAGTGTGTATCTACTCATTTATGTGTATCTACTCTCCTATGAAGTGATACCATATGTGGGAGAGTGACAAAGACGCTAAGGGTCCGTTTGGTATACGGAATTGGGGGAATTGGAATTGAATTGGAATTGGGATTAGGATTTTATGTGATTCAATTCCATAGAATTGAATTCACCAATTTCAATTCATTTTTTTGCACTATCAATTCCAAATCTACATAATATTTGTGCAACCAAACACCAGAATTGGAATTGAAGTCATCAATTCTAATTCTATAATTTAAATTCCTTGTACCAGGGCCTAAGGGGAGACTGATAACGTAGCATCATCAAATACTTAAAAGATTGTTATAGTTTTACTTTTTTGGTCAAATTGTGTCACCATTTGACCATGAATTATAGTTTTGGAATTTCAAATTTTTATAATATATAATTATTTTAAATTATATTTAATTCGTGGTCAAATGATGTCACAGTTTGACTAAAAAAGTGAAACTGTACGCGATGCGATGTTGATTTTGGATCACGATTTTATGATTGTAACTGCCCTGCCTCCACAATGTTACCATACTTGTTTTGCGACCCACATTGCTGTATTGTTTTTATTATGGATTTCGTAATCGCTGGCCGTCATTCTAAATCAGATTGGTCTCAAGTGCTAAACACTAGTTCACATGATTTGTGTATTGAAAATATTTCCTATGTCCTAAAATTTCTTCCTCATTTTTTTTTGACTTGACACGAAAATTTTGAAAAGTTAAAGAGTGTAAAGACCTTTCATGTTTGTCCTTGATGTGAAATAAGTAAAAAATGAAGATAAAAAATAAGGGTATAATGGTACATTCTTTAAAAAAATTTGCCAAGATAGAAAATGAAATAGAAATTTTTGATCGATCCAAAAAAGAAAGTAATAAAGAAATTAATGAACGGAGGGAGAACTTTTTTTTATTTCTTGCAAACATTTAGGCTACATTTGGTAACAGAAGGAAGTGGTTTGAGAAAGAAAATGGGATGGAAGTGAACACAAAGAAAATGGGATGGAAGTGAACACAAAGAAAATAGATTGTAGGAGTACAACAACAAGAATAAGCACATCCAAAAAAAGAAACAACAATAAGCAAAATGACCTTATCACTTGCCTAATTTGGTCCATATGACATGCACGCCCACCGAGGCGGAGGCACCTCCCCAATCAGGACTCGCTCATCAGACATTCGCACCGCCCAATCGGCGTTCAATTCGCTCCCACCTTCGACTGCCGGAAGCTGCCGTTCGGCGTGAGACACGATTCGGCCGGTAGTCAAACTGTTACGATCCGCCGCTTGTCCTCTCTCTCTCAGGTACTTCCTCTTTAATGCGCTCGCCGCCGTGTCCATGCCTTCATCGTTAAGCTTCGTATGATATTCATTGATCTATTCTGTTTTCCTCATTATTGTTCGTCATTCAGTATTCTCCGATTACGAATTGTTATTGGTTGTGTGGTGAAGTTGTTGATGCTGTCAGTTATTACTCTCTCCCTATCAAAATAAACCAAACACATACTTTCCTTTTTTATCCATCCCTAAATAAAATTTTATTTCCATTTTTGGTAATGATATCTGTCCTCCATTTTCATTTTTTTGTGTGCTATTGACTCGATTACAATGTAGTATTTGATCATACTTTTATCAATCTAATGACACACAAAGAATCAAAGCCTCCGCTTCGGCTGGCTGGGTGAACTTGGCTTCGTACCACTCAAGCCAGGGTCCATCATTATTTCTCTTGTTTATAACAATTCTAACCACACACTTTTCAATTTATACTTTTAGCTGTGTTCGGCCAAATTGGACATTTAATTGCTCAAGGAGGGAGTTTTTGTATATGATCATAATGAGGGGTTTTAATGTAAGGCTGGTTTTGAATCTGGAACACAGGTTGAATTAACAGGTCATGGATGATGACACGGGGCAGCTTAGAAGAGCACTTATTGATGCAACTGCAGGTGCGATTTCGGGTGGCATATCGAGGACTGTGACGTCTCCGCTCGATGTAATTAAGATCAGATTCCAGGTAATTTTGCACCAAGCTGTGCTGCTTAATTTTGGTTATGTATGGAATTGAGAAATAGTGGTTTTTTAAATTAAAAAAAGTTGCTTTCAGGTTCAATTGGAGCCTATTTCCAAGTGGGCGTTGCTCGGAAATGATGTGTATCAACCCTCTAAGTACACCGGGATTTTGCAAGCAACAAAGGACATCTTCAGAGAGGAAGGCTTACGGGTACTGCATTAATTCTTTCTGCTTCTTTATGAATTATTTGGTTGTGTGTGTGAGGGAGCCCATGTGCCTTTGCCCTTGCAGAGGCCTAAGGTTGGAATTATTACTCTCATCAGGCCATATCATTTCAGCCTTCTGTGTTCAAGGTGTTAGAGTTTGTTCAATATCCATTTATTTGGGAATTTTGTTACAGGGCTATTGGCGGGGTAATGTTCCTGCACTTTTGATGGTCATGCCATATACGGCCATACAATTTAGTGTGTTGCATAAGTTGAAAACCATAGCCTCTGGGTCTTCAAAATCAGGTCTTTCATCTGACTCTACTGAACTTGTGTATATGCACCTTGTTATAAAATATGTATTCATTAATTTGTTTTCCACACGTATAAGCACCATATATCATTCCAATTTTTTTTTCTAGAATTCATTACTCGGGCATTTATGAGTTGACGTCATTGTCTTGCATTTCTGTGCCAATAAGGAATAACATTTTGGGTCTGATGTTCTGTATATGCAGAAGATCACATTAATTTGAGTCCAATTATCTCATTCGTCAGTGGGGCATTAGCAGGCTGTGCAGCTACTATTGGATCATATCCATTTGACCTGTTAAGAACAGTATTAGCTTCACAAGGGGAGCCCAAGGTGACTTTATGACTTTATTGATGGATACACAATATTATATTGGTCAAAGTAACATGTAGTCATTCTTGAATTAAATTATTTCAAAGAAAATGACTCTATGGGCCAACCACTGACTTTTCAAATGAACAAGAAAAACAATACTATTGATTCAAACTAGCAATAAATTAATAGAAACACATTCATATCTCCAACATATTGATGATCATAATCCCTAGGATATCTGACCGTGACAACCTTGGGACGGGATATCCTTTGCACGTTTTAATGACCCACACAAAAATGAAACACTGCAAAAAGACAATGAACACCCCAAAAGCATCCGCAGGTTGTTAAATTTAGTAAATGACAACAACAACAACAACCCAGTTGAATCCCACTACAGTAGGGTGTGTGTACGGCTCTACGCAGACCTTGTCCCTACTCGGAAGTAGGGAGGCTGTTTCCAAGAGACCCCCGGCTCCAACTGCACAAAAAAATGATAAGAATCACAGTATAACACAGATAAAGCACCAAGTACAAGCACCAAGTACAATGGAATGAAAGTCCTGCAAGCAATAGCAAAACACAACAAAGGTTAAATTTAGTAAATGAAACTTTCAAATTACCTAGATTTATGCAAAACACAACAAAGGTTGCCGACAATTATAGGCGGTGATTCCTAACCAATATGGTCAAAAATCACTCATTGCGCAACGAAGGTTGCCTACAAAGAGGTGAAAGTGTGAAACAATAGAAAAGAGGAGGTAAAAGGTAGATGAGTGACCAGGGTTTAGCACTTGCCCATTTAAACATAGTTTGTTGCATCTTGCGTGCGACCTTCACATTCATATCATATTGGTATATAAGTATTTTGGGTCTAAAGTGGAGTGTGCAATTGCAGGTATACCAAAACATGAGATCTGCTTTTGTTGATATACTTAAAAGTCGTGGGATTCAAGGTCTGTATTCTGGATTGAGTCCCACCCTTGTGGAGATCATTCCCTATGCCGGTTTACAGTTTGGAACTTATGATATGTTCAAGCGCTGGACAATGGTATAAAATTCTTCCTCTCTTTCACCTACCTAAAGATAGGCTATACATTTTCTTGATTGGCTTGGTTTGCAATTTTCTCTATAGGCTTGGAACCATCGCAGGCAATCAGGCTTTAGTGAAGTTGATTTTGCTCCTTCAGGATTCCAGCTCTCTCTATGTGGTTTAGCTGCTGGAATAGCTGCTAAAGTTGTCTGTCATCCCCTAGATGTAGTGAAGAAGAGGTTTCAGGTATATGCTTTATTTCTGCCTCATGATTTTTTAGTTTCTGGTTCGCATATTGCCATAGAGAGAACAAACATTAATCACTCCTAATGTACTTCTGTGCTAGTTGTTTTTGTAACAACAACAACCAAGCCTTATCCCAATAGTTGGGGTTGGTTACATGGATCAAACGATGCCATTGTTCCCTATTTAGTGCCATATTTGCAGTGAGATCATTCACGTGATATGTTTCCCGTAAAAAAATAAGGATCTGTTTTTGTTACCTCTTCCACAATAAAGTTCTGATTTTGTAACCTCTGCCACAATAAGGATCTGTTTCACCAAAAAATAATGTGATATGTTTACCTTATTTGAATTGGTTATTACTTTTTCTTATTTTAATCAGACCATACCTCAAAGATTCAAATCACACCAGATATTATATTTCAAACAAAACGTATAGACCAGACCACACCTTAAGAGACTTTTAGGTGGAAGAGAAAGGTCCTATATGTATTGCTTAAAATATAAAATATGGTCTGATTTTATATGAATCTTGTTGGTGCAATTTGATTAAAATAAGAAGAAATAGTTAGCGAAAAAGATGAAGAGGACACCACCTTAGATATGCACACTGCCAACTATATTGTGAGAAACACCGTGAAATATTTATATGTGCCATTTTATTGTTGTTCAGGGTTAAGAGGTAACATAGCAGTAGGAGTTAGGGTAGAGGATAGTGGAGTGAGTAAAGTGTACCCCGTGTTTCTGTAGCAATTGTTAAGGAATACATGTAGCCACAACGAATAGCTAACTACTACTCCTTCCGTCCATAAATAAAGTTTCCGTTGCGCGTGAAGATGCTTGACTGAAGTTATTTTCAAATCATTTTATTTGAAAAATAGTATGGAATTAGAAAATAAAAATTACATATTTTAGAACTGCATGAAAAGATCTACAAAACTAGAGGTGACATGACTATTATTTTATCAATGAGGACACAAAAATAGTCAACAAAGTGATTAAAGTTTGACCTTGTGAATAGTGAACGGGAACTTTATTGTTAGACGGAGGGAGCATTAAAGATAGAATTTAGAAACCATCTTAATTCAGTTTGTGAATTGTGATTGTGGTTTAGTTGATCTCCCTTTATTTCATTTAAGTTTTTGCTCTAAACACAATTTGAATATTTTATTGCATTGAGCTCACATCAATAGTCGAATGGGGTTGAGAGGTGTTGAGTCCATTGTAGAGAGGTGAATCTCACTTCTTGAAGATTCTTTTGGGGTGAGTTATACCCAATTTAATAGGGTATGAGTCTCTCTGGTCAGATAATGTTTTATGGATTGCCCACCTACATTATGGTTTGAGGCAATTCGGTTATATGTTTTGTTATGTACGTAACTGCTTCTTAGTTCGTTTATATGTTTCCTAGCATATTTGTCCACTCATCCGTTGTCAAGGGCTGTGGGGCGTGTTATATCTTTCATTAGTTGTGTATTAGGTTCGGTTCTAGTTTTTAAGTTTAGCACAAATCTCACATGAAGAATTCTTTTTAGGTGAGCTACGTCCAATTGATAAAATTTTATCCTTCTTACCAATTTTCAAATAATTCCTTTGCAGATTGAAGGCCTACAGAGGCACCCGAGATATGGAGCACGAGTAGAGATCAACGCATACAAAAACATGTATGATGCTCTGCGTAACATTTTTCTCCAGGAAGGATGGGCCGGGCTTTATAAGGGCATAGTTCCATCAGTCATCAAAGCCGCCCCAGCAAGTGCTGTTACATTTGTTGCCTATGAATTTACCTCAGAGCGGCTAGAATGCTTTCTAAGGCAAAGCTTTCACAGTTTTCATTCTCCGTCTACTACTGAGGCAAACAAGTAGACCTTTTCCTCATTCTTTCGTCAACTTATTTATAAGCAAAGGGGCCCCCGATGATGGAAATACCGGTCACTGGGGACTACTGCTCACCAATGTTGCATGAAAGCTCTCAAGTAAGTCTGTTTCATGTCTCATTTGGGGTTTTTGGAAGAGTAGTGCTTCTTTAATCCATTGATGACACCATCACAATCAGGCATGGATAATGTGTGTCACAGATAGTCATTGTTGTGATACACTGCTGTCAATCTTGGTGTCACCCTTGGTGTCAGTGTAGCATGACCCATTTTAGAATGACCCTCACAACCAAATCTTTTCTACGTAATATTTACACTATGTTTGGTTCAAGGAATTTGAAAGAGAAAAGAAAAGAAAATGAAGTGGAAAACCAATTTTCTTGTTTGGTTAGAGGGGAAAAGAAAGGAAAAGTGGAAGGAAAAGAAAATGAGGAGGCAAAATGTACCAAGTGGAGGGAAAATCAAATTCCTTCCATTTTGGTGTGGAAAATGAAAGAAAATCATTTTCTTTTCTTTTCCTTCCAAAATCCTTGAGCCAAACATAGTGTTAGAGAAGTTGGTATTTCCCGTTCCTGTTTGAGTATCTGTCCACGCCTCCTTGCAACATAGTTCATCGCTTTTTAAAAATCCCACGGCCACCGGTAGCATATTTTGTGGCAATGTAGAATGCTGTCATATACGTACGTATATAAAACATTTTGTTTTTTGTAATAAAGGTTTATGTGGAACTTCATAAATATAGATTCACTTGTACAGATAGAAAATTGTTCAGTCAGAAAGGCAAAGGGGGCAAAGGGGAGTGGAATATTGTTATGGTGTACCTCATAGTAAAAAAGATATGTAACACTACATATATTATGGAGGTTCAAAGTACAAACACAATCATATACTGTGCCTTTTTTTTTCCTCTGCAAATGCCATTTTGAAGGGGGGAAAGTGCTACATGCTTTCTAGCGTTTCTTTTGAGGTTGGTATTTGTTTTAGCACACACACACACATCATTGTTTATCTCCATATTTGATTCATAGAAAATGTTCATGTATGCAATCTTTTTCTGATTTATTTTGATATCATTTGATACATTAAAATGATTTTGTCATCACTTATTTTATACTCCGTAAAATGTTAATGTGATTTTTAAATATGGAGTATATGAATTATAGTTTTAATTTATATACCAATTGTTAAATGAGTAAATTGAATTTAAAATAAGTTTAATCAAAATAGCTTAAACGTAAATGTCCGGATAAACAACTTCTATGAAAACTCGTATGGGAATCATTGTCTGGATAAATCTCTTCTACCGTTTTTTATTATGTGAATTTATTTTTAAATTTTACACTTATAATTTAATAAATTGAACTAAAAATAAGATGAATCAAACCTCACAACACATAATTGGAAGATCTATGGGGAACGGAGAGAGTACTAAACTAGCCTAACTAGTTTACCAAGTTTTTAATATTGGATTGCCACAAATGAAGAGCCAAATTTGAATTTTGACAATTGCATTATGAGATCATGATCTCTGCATCCATTGGAAACAAAATTTTATTCTATACGGTTATACCGTAGTATTAGAATTATAATTCAATTTACATTCTCTCAAATTAAATATTGGTTGAAAAGATGAAGTTTATGTGCTGGATTTAGGACTTAGAAACGTCGTCATCTTCAACCATAAATAATGTGTGCTTTGTCTGGTTCGGTAATAGGAAAATTAAGAACAGCGGAAAAAGGGATTATAATGAGTATCTCTTATCCAAAATGTGAAAATGGGGCTAATAACATTCATTATCCGTCGGAAGTGGATGTTTCTTAATTCTTGCTAGTGCTGCATCTTATTGCCTATTCACTCGATGCATATGTGGGTGGTGAAAGTAAAAAAAAAAAGTCAAAAAAAAAAAAACTTAAGAAGAATTGGATAAGATCTTTTTTTGCTTTATAAATAATTTATAAAATTAAACAAGTTAATTATTAGCACAAAGAAACAAGTCACCAAATACTCCAGAGTAACTTTTAGGTAAAAATACGTAGTAACTTATAAGTTGTGTTGATAACCTTAATTATAACAACGGATGAGCACACATTATCTTTGTGTCTCGCAAAGTTTTTTTTGTTTTGGCTTCATAATTTTTAGGGAAAAGTCTCAAAATACTCTATTAAAAATACGGAGTATGTGATAAGAATGCATATAGAAGAGAGAAATTTCTTAAGTTGCAAGCTCTTTTTCTTTACACTATGAGACGGAAAATAAAAGAAAATAAGAGAAAAACATTTTCTTGTTTGGTTAGAGAGGGAAAAAAGAAAATAAGAATACAAAATGTACTAAAGAAAGGGAAACCAAATTCTTTACATATTGATAAGGAAAATGAAGAATAACTATTTTCTTTTCTTTATTTCAAAATTTTGACTCCAAAATCAATCAAATTTGAAGGATGCAATTGAAGGGAGTGAGGCGGTGGGTTCGGAGTGGTGCGGGGTGGGGGAGTTTACGGTTAGGAGGGGTATGAATCGTTAATTTATATATTTAAAAACTAAATCAAAAGTTTTACAAATAAGATGTGACAATACTATATTATTTTTATGAAATAATTAACGAAAATAGATAATGAAAATGATTAAAATTTGTCCATAAATAGTAACTGAAAAGAACATTTTAGGACGTAGGGAGTAATGAAAATGCTTTCATTTCATTGAAGATATCAAACTATAAAATTTGAAAATTTTGTGTTTAGAGTTTAAAAAGCCTCCACTTGCTACCTTTTTTTTCCTTCTTTCCCCTAGGAATTGAAGTATATAATGACACATTGACACTCCTTGGATCCCACCGGATTAGAGAAGTATGAGTGGGATTTGAATTTCTCCTAGAAAACAAAAAAAAAATGACAGAGAATTGGGGAGGTGGCGGCGACGAAGGGTGCGGTGGTTTGAGGGCGGAAAAGGAGCAGCACCGCCTGCTGCTTTTACCCATAGCCAACGTCGGACGGATCATGAAGCATCGGCTGCCGGAAAACGCCAAAGTCTCGAAAGAGGCCAAGGAGACGATGCAAGAGTGCGTGTCGGAGTTCGTGGGCTTCGTCACTGTAGAGGCGGCGGAGAGATGCCGGCGTGAGAGGCGGAAAACGGTTAACGGCGACGACGTTTGTTGGGCCTTGTCCATGCTGGGCTTCGACAACTTCGTGGGCCCCCTCAAGATATACTTGCATATGTATAGAGAGCAAGAGAACGAAATAAGAAGCAAAAATCACTTTAAATAAAACAAAAATATAATAGGAGTTTCATGTTTTATTCTTATATAAAAGTTCGTATTGTAGTAATGTGACATTATACATCTGTATTTTATGTAATGTATCTGGTTAATATTTGTAATGTAAATGCATTTTAACTTCAATTTTAGAAATAGAAACACGAAAGTCTTAATTTAGTATATTTTCAATGTTTTACTCCTATTTAAGTCTTTTTTTTCCAATAAAAAATCTAAGATCAATTAAACCACGTGAGATGCATGAGCGGTCACTTATACTACCTCCGTCTCTGAGTATTTCCCCAATTTTGACTTGTTTCGATCAACTGTTTTCAATTTTTCACTTATAATTAAATAAAATATACTTCGTATATAGTTTATTAATTAGATAAAATAATAGTTTGAAAATATCTGACATTATAATTCTAATAAAACTATTTTTGTATCAATATCTAATACTCGTATCATTTTTATTTGATTTGAGGACAAAAAAAATGGACAAATACTGAGAGACAGATGAAGTACGATTTTTTAGTATTATTGATCGATTCCACTTACAAAGAGTAAATACCTTCGCCTCTATTGGGGCTCGTACTTGGTGAACCTCTCATGAACTAAGGGAGTGACATTCATGCCACTCATGTGATTCCAATTTAAACAAGATAATAATTTTGGTGATTAAGATTGTCGAAATTAAATAAACAGAACTAATTTTGGTAAGGAGGTTACTAGAATTTAAGGACTGAAATTTATTTGAAGAATGGTGAAAAGTATATCATAATCACTTTTAATGGAATGCAATGGAATGACAAAGGTATTGATCATCCTTTTAAAACATGAACAAAACAAAAAATATCTCCACAAAAATGAGAGGAAAATGAAATACTTCAAATGAAAACATAATTTACGTATATATTCTTGATGTTGAAAAAATTACACTTCTAATGGAATGCAATGGAATGACAAAGGTTTTGAAGTTAATGAGAAATTTTCATATACAATTACCACAAATTTGGTGAATAAAACATTGGCAATGAGTCAATGCCAATTTACTGTGAAAAGTCAACCTATGGAATTTTGTGGTCGCTATGGGTTCCTTGAGTATCCAAGTCCATGAATTATTTGGTTCGTACCGATATCGTATTACAAATTTCAGATTGGTGTGGTATTTTACACGTACCGGTTCCAAGCTCGAATTATCGGTTCAATATGATTCTGAATGGTCCGATTTCAATTTCGATAAATATTGTGAATATCATGATTGATGATTACTTGAATTGTATATTATGTGCATGATATCAAATGGTTGATCATGAATTGAGATTCAATTCATATGGATCTTCGACGCATTAGATATGCTTACTCAGCTTTACCGCTGAACGTGTAGTATATTTTATTTGTTACACGCAGGTAAACAAAAAGGAATGAAGTGATGAATTCCTGTATATAGATGGGGCGAGACGGTCGTGATGGCTGTGTGGATTTAAATAATTAATTATGAGTGTTACAAGGCATGTTTTAAATTCGCTTCCGCATTATTAAACACTCCGTATTTCTATTGTTATGTATTGAATATTAATTATGATAATCAATATGAAATTATATCTTTAGCCGTCAAATTAACACCAATAAAATGACAAAAGATTAATAAATGACTATTTATCAAAAGATATTAATAAAAGAAATACCACACGCGTAATATTTGATAATAACAACTTTGCTATACAATAATACTACTCTACGTTTGTTTAACATGACAATGAGACCAATTGTGTAAGAGTTTGTCCGCTATGTCTAACGTAAATCCTCTCTTATTAACAAATGAAAACCATAATTACTTTTAAGTCAGTAGATGAAAGTCAACATAAACACAAATAACTAAAATGAAGTAATTCATGGATTAATACACTACAAGAATTTCGCCTATTAGCTGCGCATATTTAAAGGGGGATTATTCCGCCTCTAATTAGCGTGGAATTAGCAGGGAATTATTCCCCCTCTAACTGAAATTTTAATAAGCGGGGGATTTTTCCGCTTCTAATGTCGCAGCTAATTGAAATAAAATAGGCAGGCACAGCTGAAGGAAAAAAAATAAAAAGTAAAAAGGGTGGTTAAAGAAAGTCCAAAATTTATTTTAAAATAAAATTAAAATAGAGGCAGACTTTTTGCCCGCTAATATCAAATATAATAGCGGCGGAGTTATCCCCCGCTTATTATAAACCAAACAAATTAATTAAATTAAAAAAATGGCGAATATTTCCCCCTCTAATATAGAATAAGAAAAGAGGCGGACTTTCCCCCTTTTTTATTAGTTTTTCAAAATTTAACTTTATTTATTAATTATTGGGATTTGGGACATGATATTTGCACTCCAATTAAAAAGAATACATTTATATACTCTCTATATTATCGCGATTGAGTTAAAAAGAGTATGGGAGATCTGCGTTTCTCATTAGATGCAGTACAGAACCACCAGATGGAGTGCGGCGGCAGAGCGATGCTCGGAAATCTCGATCGGCAACGGACATCGCTGGGAAGAAGCGACAGATGGGAGGCGAGGAACGGAGATCGATCCTCACGCCTCGATCTCGTCGGTTGGGTTTGCTGCTGCTGTGCTCCGTCGTCGACGATCGTCCAGCCATCGAGAACGGCGGTGAATCCTCGGATTTCAGACGGCGACCTTGGATCTTGATATCTTCTGCAAACTTAGCCCGGTTCAATTCACTCCCAATTTCTCCTCCTAAACCTAAGCTTTGTGTTTCTTGACATCATGAGTGGCTAGATATTTAGATTTGGGTGTTGGATTGTTTAAGTGTATTATTATGCTTGGATTCTTCATTTGGATGATAATTTGTGGATTAATGTTAAATAGTTTGTGGTAGAAGATTATTTTGCGTACTTGTTTGTGTTCACCAAACATTGTGTGGTCTTGGTATTGAGTTTTGAATCACCAAGGAATTAGGTTGTAGAATTCTAGTCTTGGTTCTTCACTCTCAAATTCTTACCATGGAAGTGGTTATGAGTTTGCGGAGTCTCATTTTGCTTGGGTATTGTCTCGGTTGAACTACCAAGGAATTGGAGATCAACTTAGATAGTTTAATTCTTTTGCCATGGAAATGGAAAAGAAATCTTTGTTAGACTCACTACTTGGTTTGAATTCCCTAATGATTCCCTTTTCTTCTTAGTCATATCCTCAAACACTTATCTTATTTCTAGACTTAAATTCACAATTACTTTTGTTCTTTTGATCTTGTCTCTTCATCGACTTTCTAGACTTAAATTCACTATTATTAGTGGTTCAATTAGTGCTTGATTGACTAAGTACTTGATTCCCTTATAGCTATCCTCTGCGGGAACGAAAAAATTACTTACTACTTTTACCACATAAAAAAGACATCAAAAACTCCTCAAATTATTTTGAAACTGAATTTGACCAGGTGCTTTCATGTTAGAAATCTGCACAGTTAAGGTGCTTTAAAGCTTCAGGTACGTGCAACTTACCCTATTTTTCTAAAAAAATTGCTACTTTGAGTTGTTTGGTTAAATGTGTTACCGTCTCTATTTTTTATTTTAGTTCCTTAACATTATTGCAGTTTCATATTACTTTGTATTGCTTGACATGTTTTTTGAATAGAAAATATTGTGAAGAAGTAAGGCATTTCTACTCCAGGTATACTACTCTGTTTTTTATATACTGTTATATTTACTACTTGTCTACCTTGTCTATTTATTCATTAATGGAGTAAGTTGTTTCTACTCCATGTATGCTTCTAATCATCTACTTTAAGAGTTATTGCAAGACTTATTAAGTCATAGGTGGAAGCTAGTCTATTTGGAGTAAAAATCTGCACTAGTAGGTGCTAAATCCAATCTTAAACCGTTGGTGTTCAAAGTAGTTCTCTTTTATTGCTAAAACTGAAAATTTTACATTGTTTTGATGATTTTCAAGGTGAATTCATAATCCTTTAAATTATTATTTGCTTAAAACTTGTTTGGGAACTGAATATAGAGAAATAACATGATTTATAGGTGAGATGCTACATTTGTGGAAAAGAACCGATCTATGCATGTTGGTCTGGAAAAAAGTGATGGAAGAACAACACGAACTCCGAGAGGGAAAAACTGAAAGACGAACAAAAATTTGCATAGCTTTGAACTACCTGGAAAATCGTGCTAAGCACCTTGCCGTTGGGGGGGGGGGTGTGTGTTCCTCCATCCTCGATCCCGACTACTCATCCACGCTACAATGATGAAAGTGATGAAGAAGAATTGAGTGATGAGCATGTTTTTTTGCCGATGGCGCCTATGATAGAATGCATGGTATATTTTGCCATTCTTATCCGTACCTGTTTGTGACTTATGACTTTTTATTAGACTTGGCACTTCATTTTATAGACTATGGAACTTATTGTTTGATGTTGTTTATGTCTTATGACTTTTTGAGATTATGGATTATGTAATGGTTGAATGTTATGTTTGGACCCTATATGTTGTATGTTTGTGTATAGTAATTAGAATATAATTAAAATTTAATTTTTTTTAAAAAATAAAATATAATTAGAGGCGGAAGATTCTCCCTCTAATATAGCGGCAAAGAAGTCCCCCTCTATTATAGAGGCAAAAAATTCCGCCTCTAAATTAGAGGCGGACTTTTCTGCCTCTAATATTAGCAGCAGCGTGTTTAGCGGTAGGTTACCTTCCGCCTCTAAGTCGCCACTAAATCTCTATTAGTGGCGGATTTTGTACAATTAGAGGCGAACTTTTCACCCTCTGTTAGTAATTATTTTAGTAGTGATATTATAAATTTGCAATTAAGATGTCATGTACAAGTCTTTATCTCAAATGTTTTTGTTTTAGAAAGAAACTTATTTCTTATTAGCTAATGTAATTATATTGAGAGTTTTACCTGCCTCTAATTTCAAAGGCTCCAAATGAGCCTCATAGATACAATGAATAAATATTTTAAGAAACTTTTCATATTACTACTTAAGCACATGCAACAACTTAAAATTTCTAATCAATTTCTTTTATATTAGACAAGTTGGTAGTAATATCTTATACGTGATTAAAATAAGATGAATAAAAATTGTAAAAATAAATAATTAATGCATCTTTCAACATGCAAACTACGTACATATCGACTATAACAACGATATACGTACAGAGTATGTTGATTATTTAAATGTATATGCGTGAACTTTCGATGAAATGAAAACTAATGCACAATTCTCATTAAAGAATTCAAGATAAACATTGTGAAAAAGCTAAAAAATTGTTTGATACTTTAATGGAGCATGTGATGAATCAAACTTAAACTGTTACATGAAATCCTAGAGCGAATCTATACCAGTATACCTAAATAAGCCAGTATCTGAACTCTTTTTATTGTTTAATCTCTCAATACAAATGAAAATTCTTCTCGTACTCTGTAATAAATACTGCGTCTCGATCAAAGTGCGTAATATATATCATTGTCATTGTAACATGGTAATAGTATTCAGATAAATCGCATATATGTGTATTTAGTAAAAAAATATATGCATGCATGTATGTATATATTTATATATACACAACTCATCTCTATATTAACTTTGCATCCTCTACATATTTTTCTTTCATTTCTAAATAAATACGGAGTATAAAGTATAAACCATGCAATTTTATGTTTTAAATTGGCGCACAAATTAGTTTTTCTTTTTCACAAAAAATTACGGAGTACAGTAATTCGCTCAAAGTATATCGGCGTGGTTTTGAAGAGGAGAAATGAAAAAAATAAAAAGAAAAGCGAAAGATTAGAGATTCACAGCCTCTTTTCTTAAATATCCCCGCCCGTCTTTCCTCTTTCCGTCGATCTTCTCCGGGGATCCGATCGCTTTCTCAGCAAGATTCATCTTTAGACGTACAAATACAGATAGGTGAGCTTTCAAAAGTTCCAACACGAGGTCAATGTCTTTTAAATCACATTATTTGAGATGTCTATATGCACGAACTTATCAGTATGTGTAAAATCAGGGTTTCGTATTGTTTTTGCTTATTAAATGTGATTATTGAGATGTTTCAATGGCTTCAATTTGTAGAAGCTCTGTTCAGATGGCGCTTTACTTCGTTTGAAACTTGATAATCCTTATCTTGTGATCTGGTAAGTTTTATTAGTGTTTCACTGCTCTTTAGAACTCAGTAAAATTATTGGGGAGGTATGATTGTTCATACTTACTTTGGTGGTAATTGAGAATATGCCAATCAGTTGGAGATTGAGTTTTCAGGAGTAGTTTTGGATTTTGGAACTTGGAGTTATCATCATGTCAATGAATCAGCGTGCCACAATCGACTTAGAACAGGGATGGGAATTCATGCAGCATGGCATAACAAAGCTGAAGAATATTCTCGAAGGGCTGCCGGAACCACAATTCAGCTCTGAGGAATATATGATGCTATACACGTATCCTTCTAGAAACCACATCATGGTTTTTTTTAGAGAAAGTGTAGCTCTATTATTTTCTGGGTTCCTTAAATCTCATCTACAGAACAATTTACAATATGTGCACACAAAAACCACCCCATGACTATTCACAGCAGTTGTATAACAAATACAAAGAGGCATTTGAGGAATACATCACATCAACGGTTAGTTGTTTTATGCCACTATAGGTGAATGTGCAGAGGAGTATAGTTGTGCAACTACAATTGCTATATTCTCAACTAGCTTATGCATATATGCTACATCTGGTCAACTTCATCTTAAAATTGTTGAAACCAAAGAGAAAAGACAAGGTGGAAGAACAATGAACCAGGAAATGGTTTTGGTGTTGAATTTAAAAAATTTATCAAGTGGTTACTTTGTGAGGACTGAGGATATTGCAAAGCCTTAGTTGCTTTTTCCTATCTTCTGTACAATTGAGCTTGAGAGAACTATGTCACTTTTTGGTTTCTAACTTTGTTTTCATGTTGTAATTTCTTCTAAGTTCAGGTGCTGCCTTCTTTGAGAGAGAAACATGATGAGTTTATGTTAAGAGAGTTGGTGAAAAGGTGGTTAAACCATAAAATCATGGTGAGATGGTTGTCGAGGTTCTTCTTTTACCTGGATCGTTATTTCATTACTCGGAGATCCCTACCAGGTCTCAATGAAGTTGGATTAGCATGCTTCCGTGATCTGGTAACTATAACTATTGGCCACAATGCTACATCATAAATGGAATCCTTATTTTTTTGCCATTTTTTACGAGTCTTTCCTCTGTGCTTGTTACAATTGGTCTTGAGCTCTAACCACATGATGATTATCTGTCTCATTGATTTAGTTAAGTTGGATTAAGATGTTTTTTTCTACTTTTCACACATTGTTCAATTACTTTTGCTTATATAAGATATTTTTTTGAACTACTACAAATATTTTAACGTTAAAACTCTAACATTGAATCAGGTTTATGTAGAGTTGAATGGCAAAGTAAGAGATGCTGTTATATCTCTGGTATGTTTCTGCCAGTGAGATCTTTTTCTATCTCAGGCCCTCGCTTTGCTATCAGATGTTAACTGACAATATTGATAACCAGATTGATCAAGAGCGTGAGGGTGAGCAGATCGATAGAGCATTATTGAAGAATGTGCTAGACATATTTGTTGAAATTGGAATGGGACAAATGGATTATTATGAGAATGACTTTGAAGCAACTATGCTCAAGGATTCTGCAGCCTATTATTCTCGAAAGGCCTCTAGCTGGATCTTAGATGATTCATGTCCGGATTATATGTTGAAAGTGAATATCTATGACTTTTATCTTTTTCATTGATCCCCCTTTTTGAATCTCTCCTCACTCTGTCATTTTCCAAATGCAGTATTTTCTAATTTTTTTGTATCTCCAGGCCGAAGAATGCTTGAAACGCGAGAAGGATAGGGTCTCTCATTATCTACACTCAAGTAGCGAGACAAAGTTGCTTGAGGTTCTATCACACACCATGTCGTACTTTACTTTTTGTTGTCAATTGTGCCAGCTTTCATTTCTACACCACACACATTACTTAAGCCGTCGATGCTAGCTTTCCTTCACTTTCTAGTCATTTCTTTTATCCATTTACTATTTCAGCAAGTCCAACATGAGTTGTTGGCTGTGTATGCCACCCAACTGCTTGAGAAGGAGCACTCTGGATGTCATGCATTACTCAGAGATGACAAGGTTCTCACACACAAATTACTCCGTATTATATATGTGAAGTATTCACATTTTTTTTCTTTACGAATTTGCAGGCATTTGATGCGTACATTTTTTCTTAAATTGTTTTAGGTGGAGGATTTGTCAAGGATGTATAGGCTTTTCTCGAAAATACCTCGAGGGTTAGAACCTGTTGCTAATACTTTTAAGCAGGTCTGAATTCTCACTCCTGCTCTCTATCTGAAAGCGTAACTCAAAATAAAAATTCTGGCTAGATTTTGTGAAACTTCTCAGTTTTGTGATTTCCCTTGTATTGTAGCATATAACTGCTGAAGGCATGACTCTAGTTAAACAAGCTGAAGATGCTGCAAGCCATAGAAAGGNATGATGAGTCTTGGGCACTAAAGCAGGCAGGAGTATGACAGTTCTATACAACACTATGTAATCATAAGTTTGATATTTGTGTCATCTTTGATGCGTACATTTTTTCTTAAATTGTTTTAGGTGGAGGATTTGTCAAGGATGTATAGGCTTTTCTCGAAAATACCTCGAGGGTTAGAACCTGTTGCTAATACTTTTAAGCAGGTCTGAATTCTCACTCCTGCTCTCTATCTGAAAGCGTAACTCAAAATAAAAATTCTGGCTAGATTTTGTGAAACTTCTCAGTTTTGTGATTTCCCTTGTATTGTAGCATATAACTGCTGAAGGCATGACTCTAGTTAAACAAGCTGAAGATGCTGCAAGCCATAGAAAGGTGTGTGTTTGTGATGCCTCTATACTGTTCTTTGTGGGTTCTGCACAGAATGATTGATTTATAAAATTTGGAAATGTCAAAGTAAATTATCTCTACATCATGTGCTATGTATTACTACGTACACAACTTGGTCTGGGAAGAGATTATCGAGACTATGTTGAGGAAAGGGGTGAGCATTTCTGAGAATCAAATTGGTTTCATGCCAGGCTTGTCAATTACTGCTGCCATTCATCTCGTGAGGAGACTCATGAAGCAGTATAGGGACCTAGACATGGTGTTTATTGACTTGGAGAAGGCATGCGACAGGGTTTCTAGAGAGATCTTATGGAGGTGCCTTGAGCACAGAGAGGTATTGATTGCTTATATTCGGGCTATTGAGGACATATATGAGGACATGTATGACGAGGTGAAGACTCAGATGAGGTTGCTAGGAGGTGACTCTGACCACTTCCCGGTGGAGATTTGGCTACATCTGATATGCCCTTAGTCTTTTCTGATTTGTGTTGGCGATGGATCCAGGGGGAGGTACCTTGGTGCATGCTGTTTGGAGATGATATTATATTGTTCTGATTCATGAGACACGAGAGGGACTCAGTGATAGGTTGGAAGCGTTGAGACAGACCTTGGATCCAAGGGTTTTACATTGAGCAGGACTGAGACGAGTGCATGAAATGTTGCTTCAGTGGTAGGTCAAGTGTGTTGGAAATGAAAGTGAGGATTGAATCACATCCTCTGTCCAAAGGGGCTAAGCTTTGGAATCTTGCTTCTATCATTCATGCCAATGGAGAGGTTGGTGGGGATGTTGCGCATCTTATTGGTGGCGCTTGGGAAAATTGGAAGCTTACTTCAAGTCCTTTGCGTTAATAGGATATTGGCAAACATGAAAGGGATGCTTCATCAGGTTGTAGTCAGAATGGCTATGTTGTATGGTGTCGATCGAGTGTTGGGCAGTGAAGGATGCTCATGTTCAGAGGCTACAAGTGGTAGAGATGAGGATGCTAATGTGGATGCATACGAGGATGGCTAAAATCTGGAACAAGGATATTGGAAGGGTAAAAGTGGTTTTTATGGAGGACAATTTGTGTGATGGTAGATTAAGGAGATTATGGTGATGTGAACATATACTGAGGAGAGGTACGGATGCCCTAATGAGGAGGGGCATGAGGCTTGAGGTATGGGGCATGAGGAAGGGTAGAGGTAGACCTAAGACGATTTGGAAGTAGGCGATTTGTCATGATTTACGGTTTCAGGATATTACCGAAGATATGCCCTATTGTTAGAGGAATTTAGAGCTGTATGGAGGTTGGGGTTTTTGTTTGGGGGCTTTTATGCCTTAATATGCAGGCCTTAGATTGTGGTTTTTGTTTGGGTGCTTTGTAGTTTATACTTATATGCTTATTCTGCGTGCTACTTTCATTTGTTGATGTGTTCATGTGTCTTGAGCCGGGGTCTCTTGGAAACAACCTCCCTACTCTTTGGGTAGGGGTAATATCTTTGTGCCCTCCACCTCCCCAGACCCCACTCTGTGAGATTTTAGTGGCACTGTTGTTATATCATATGTTATGTATAGTATTATAATAGTGACATAGTGTCGGTGTATTTAATGGCCTGGGGATTTGTTACACCAGTATGCAGGCTTGTCCAATTGTTTTCTTCTTAAATTCAAAGTTCCAAGTTATAGTCATTTTCTTTTTTTTTTAAATTAAAAAGTCATTTTCTTAAAATAAACATCCTACTAATTTCTGTGTGATGTATTATAATTCTTGATTGGCTTCTTTGAATAGATCTTGGAGTGTTGACATTGTACTACTGGTCTATATCTTATGTTGTGAACATTTTTTTCATCATGATTTAATTTATTCAGATGAAGTGTCTTATGGTGTGTTTGGAAACTTGAATTTGGATTTCAAATCTAGATTTGATCCAAATTACTTGTTTGGGAACTCTAAGAATTTGGATTTGGATTTAGAACACATTCTTCTAATTCAAATCTAGGCCAATTACAAATCCACACCTCTCCCCATGTCATTTACAAATTCAAGCTCAACTTCTCTTTAATTTATAACTTGTAATTAAAGAGTGATCTCCCCTTATGCAACAACAATTCCATACATATCAACCGGCTTCCGTTACCGTCTTTGCCGACTTCAAAATTCAAATTATAGAAATGAAATTCTATGACTTGATTGACTTCCCAAACAACATTTGGAATTTGAAATAATGGGAAAATTGGAGAACTGTAGAAGGGTGGATGTTAACATTCATGGGGTTTTTGCTATACACTTCTTTAGTAATTACTGTATTAATTAGCAAATGACTTTCTCTATTCGCATATACCTTGGCATTCCTTTGAGTGCGTGTGTGCACACACAGAGTTTTTTATTTATAAATACTGATTAATTTTCAAAAGTCACTGTGAAAATAAAGATTGAGTGGATAAAACTATTTTTTCTAAGTAGTGACTTTTCTTCTACAGGCAGACAGGAAAGATGTCGTTGGTATGCAGGAACAGGTATTCCTCAAAGTTTGTTTTTTTCTAATAATTCCCGAACATTTTTTTGTGATTCTTTACTAACTGAATAAAGTTTCAGGTTTTTGTTCGGAAAGTAATTGAACTTCATGATAAATACTTGGCATATGTAAATGATTGTTTTCAAAACCATACACTGTTCCACAAGGTTTGTAAACTAGAACACTCATCATCTTGTTGTCCTATGCATTTGTGTGAAATTGGTTTTATAATCTTTCCTCCCTCTCTCAGGCACTTAAGGAAGCGTTTGAAGTTTTTTGCAACAAGGGTGTTGCGGGAAGCTCAAATGCTGAACTTCTTGCAACATTTTGCGACAACATTCTTAAAAAGGGTGGATGTGAAAAATTGAGTGATGAAGCCATCGAGGAGACATTGGAGAAGGTTCTAGTTTTGGCTTCCTGATTTTTTCTATTAAAGCTATAATCTATTAGGATCCATTTCATATTTGCAGGTTGTAAAGCTATAATCTATTGCTTTCAAAAAAAATATATGCAGGTTGTAAAGCTGCTTGCTTACATAAGTGATAAGGACTTATTTGCAGAATTCTACAGGTAATTTCTCTAGTTACTTTTTTGTCTATTCCTTTTATTCTTTGTCCTTTGGCAAATGGCATCTATAATTTATGTTTAATGCCTTCTGCCCTCCTCTTTATGTAGATCTTGCTACTGAGTACCGACTTTTACTAGGCATTTATTTGCTATCTTTGTTCCTTGTCATGAAAAAAAGTATGATATTGGTTGATTCATGTAGATCGACAAGTGAGTCAAAGGTGCATGAGGCGACCTTTTCATTTGGTTCTTGTGTCATGAATCACACAAGGCACAAGACATGCACTTACATCTTGTCGACCTTTTCTTTTGGTTCTCTTGTTTTCCCTTCAACTCTACACTTTGGCATAATTTATTTATAAAATATATGTAAACCCAATCAGTCCATTCCAATTATTACACAAAAATAGTCTGGAATCCTCGTCTTCATCTCAATCCATTCATGAGTTTGATGAGAGTAGGTCAGATGCATTTGAAACTGAAGATTGTGTTCGGGGATACAAGTCAGATATTAGAGTGGAATATGACAATATTATTTGTTGAATTAAGTAGTTTGTGAAGAGTTATGAGTCCTTTAGTTTTCTGCGTGTGTGAAAAGTTGTTCCGATCTAAGACTATTATTTTGCGGTCTGTAGGAAGAAGTTAGCTAGGAGGTTGTTATTTGATAAGAGCGCCAATGACGAGCATGAGAGAAGTATCCTAACAAAGTTGAAGCAGCAATGTGGCGGTCAATTCACATCAAAGATGGAGGGGATGGTAAGCTCCGTCTCTCAGATTGTTTTATATTTACTAGTCCATAATAATTTGATTGCCATGCCATTCTCTTGTCATTACTTCCCTATTTCTTATTATACCCCACTTTCCAGGTCACTGATTTGACTTTGGCAAGGGAAAATCAAACTAATTTTGAGGAGTATCTCAACAACAATCCTGTTGCAAGCCCTGGCATTGACCTGACTGTTACTGTTCTGACTACTGGCTTCTGGCCAAGCTACAAGTCTTTCGATCTTAACCTCCCAGCTGAGATGGTATTCTCACTATACTCCAATAGAAGCCTTTAATTCCTATTAAATGGGGCAGTTGATATGATTATACTATTTTTCGCTTTTCCGTCTATAGGTTCAATTTCAGCACTTCACTATCTACAATTTACCGCAAGGATTTTTCCGATGTGCCATGGGTACATGATAAAGAATTACTTGATGTGCTTCATTTTCAAGTTTTAGAAAGGATTTTATAATTTCAAGGAGAAATGAATGTTATTAAAAACTCGATACTATTATCATCACTAAAATTCAAATGTATCATTAGTATCAGGCATAATTTAAGAAGACTATAAGCATTCAATATTCATTTATTGTGTCCTATCATGTGCCCATGGGCACACTAAAAAACTCCTTGTTGTAACCCCTCACTGTATCCCGCTTCATTTGTCTTTATTTTTTATCCCTCCTAAAACAATGTTCTTTTTCTCATTTGAACATCAATACCTTTTACTTTTTCCAATTTACATTTTCTCCCTTGTAACTTCTGGATTGATTTGAAACTGGGCACATTTGAGGGACAAAAGTTCTTTTTTTAAATGAAAAGGGGGCAAACATTGGATGACAAAGTGTATAGTCCAGATTTGAGTTGGATTACAATTTCCTGCCCCACAAAGTTTTAAATTTTTGGAAAATTTTAACTATGGCATCGTTTTTTACCGCTTTGAATTTGAATGTTAGGTAAAATGTGTGGAAGTATTTAGAGAATTCTACCAAACAAAAACAAAGCACAGGAAGCTCACATGGATATACTCACTGGGTACTTGTAATATCAGCGGACACTTCGAGCAGAAAACGATAGAGCTGATTGTGACTACTTACCAGGTTTTTAAATAGCATACTTTAAATTATTAATCTATATATGTTCAATGTTTTCACAAGGAGCTTGTTGGCATTTAACTCTTGTTGTTTTTATTGTCAATAGGCTTCTCTACTGTTGCTATTCAATACATCAAATCGTCTGAGTTATCAGGAAATTGTGGGACAGTTGAACCTTTCAGATGATGATGTTATTAGACTTCTCCATTCATTGTCCTGTGCAAAGTATAAGATCCTCAAAAAGGAGCCAAGCACCAAGACTATATCGCCTTCGGATGTCTTTGAGTTCAACTCAGAATTTACAGACAAAATGAGGAGGATAAAAGTAAGACCATGTTTTTTGCTTTTATCTCAAGTGCTTCCTCATTTAAGCACTTCAAGTGTTTTCTATAAAAGCAAAAATCTTCTCTATTCTTGAAAGTGTTATTTTCTATTTTCCAGTCAAACTCTTGTTTTTAAGTAGAGGTACAAAGCACTTATTTCCTGAACATAAGCCATCAGAAACGCTATCTAGTTTAGTATCAATCTATTATCGCTAACCTTTCCTTTTTCGTGTGGGTGTTACTTGTATTGCATATGTTGCTAATCAATGGTGAAATATGTACTTTGTTATGTAGATCCCTCTCCCACCTGTGGATGAGAAGAAAAAGGTGATTGAAGATGTGGACAAAGACAGAAGATATGCTATTGATGCTTCAATTGTGCGCATTATGAAGAGTAGGAAAGTTTTGGGGTATCAGCAGTTAGTCATGGAATGTGTTGAGCAGTTAGGGCGCATGTTTAAGGTAAATAATTTCAAGTTCTTACAATTCTCCGTTTGATTTTTGTTCCCTTAATGTTCATATTATTATGCAAATTGTGTATCTCCCAGCCTGACGTCAAAGCGATCAAGAAAAGAATTGAAGATTTAATCACTAGGGACTACCTTGAGAGGGATAAGGAGAATCCCAACATGTTCAAATACTTGGCATAATGATGATGATTGCTATTATAGGAATAGTCGTCGAGAATCAATACATATGTACTTGTTGCTGATTTTTGAGTCTACAGCGGGAGAAGCGATGCCAACAAAGTCATGCCGAAGTTGTATTGATTTGTAAAATGCTTGTTGAAAGGGAACACTATGTGCTTTTACTAATCCTGTCATGATTTTCAAAACATCAATTTGTATATTTCAAGCACCCTAATTACATTGGGTACTCCATGTTTTTCTATTTTTACTTTCTTGACCTTGTTGCTATTCTCTTGGTAGATTTTGCACTCAATTTTTTATTGGGGTACTGTTTGCCTCCCCACCCTACCCCCCACACCACCACCCACCAGACTACCATTTATTAGCTTGTTGGTCTAAAATTTGAGCTGTGGGGCACAATGGGGCGTATGCAAATATAATTAGTGAATGAAGATAAAATAACGGCCCTCTTCACATATATCCAATCACCCAAGCGGCCTGTACTCGCTACATTTGTGAAGGTAAAGTTGCTCATGGTTTCACAATACAATATGATATGGTCTACTTTTATAAATCAGTTGCAAACTGTCCTTTTCATTGACATAATAACATTTTGGGTGTTGCTAAATCTATCCCATTATGACTAATTTCATTCTATTTGTGGTGAAATGGACAACTTTACGTGGATTTAGCCGCAATATAGGTAGACTTAGGAACAACACCCTAACATTCTAGATTGTAAATTCAAATGGGAACCCTTTCTAGGATTATACCAAATGGCATACCGGAGTATATATTATCATTATTATTATTATTATTATTATTATTATTATTGTTTTTATTATTATTAAAGTAATTAATTATTTGTAATATTATAATGTACTAAAAGCTGAACTTGGCGAAATCAAGGGATTTCTTGCCCTGAAGCTTGCTGGTAACATAGTGTTTGCTGAATTCGCCATGGTTGTAGGTCCTGAATTGGGCCGGGTTGTCTTCGGTCACCATTTCCGGCAAAGGCCCAATTTCCATTTCGTAACTTGGCGCATAAAATGTGACTATCGATAGCCTGTCCCTCTCTTTGTCCGTCACCGCTCTATGCTCCACGCTCTTATATTTTCCATTAGTCAGCACCTACAATTTTCATTTATTAATTATCAATTTTTTTATAAAATACTCCCTCTGTCCGCCTAAGATGTTCTCATTTTGACTTTTGGTGGTTTTTAAGGAGAGTTGAAAAAAGGTGAAAGTTTACCATAATACCCTTAATGAAAAATGGATGGAGTGTACTAAATGAGGTGGGTGAGGTGTAATAAATAAAGTAAGTGGGGGTAGTTGTGGTATTTTACTTGTTAAAAAATGAAATGAGAAGATCTATTGTGGACAAAGAAAAAGGGCTATTGGGAAGATCTATGATGGACAGAGGGAGTAATTACATTACAATTTAATTTAATTTTACAATTCAATTGAGAATCAAATTTTTATAAAAATGTTATTTTATTGCATTGATATTCAATAAAATATGTTATTATCACTTTTTTTGTCCCCTAAAGAAACTTTACTTTCTTTTTTTCAAAAAAGACCAAGTGACACAATTCTTTTTTTAACTAACGAAGGAAGTAATTTTTTTATTCTTTAATTGAACAATAAAATACCTCGATGGTGTCACCGACGTTGATGACGAGAGCATTTGGAAGAGAGGGAACTTGGACCCATTCATTTTTATCATTGAGTATCTGAAGGCCCGGCGGGCCGAAATTGGGCTGTTGCAACACAGTAAGGGCACTCCCGTCGGAATGTGGGCTAAGGCCCAAAACGAGATCAGGCCTGGGACATGGCGGATAATAGTTCATCCTCACGGCCTGCACACACCCCTTCGCAAATGCCCTGTCGAAAACGTCGTCGTTTCCGTTCAAAGTGATTCCTATGTACTTCATCAACTTCTCGCACAATCCCCTCATTTCTCTCGTGTATGTTTCCACCGTTTCCCTGTCCGTTTGAAAAGATGGAAAATAGCTTTTAGAATTTGTATTTAGAAGAAATCTCTCTGGATAGGAATAAAAAAATATCAAAATACTTTATATCAAATAAGAGTTCTAAGTCTTTTAAAACATATATAGAAATATAATGAAATTGTAGTGTAAGAGTACATATTGACATTATCACAGAAAAGTGATACCAGTGTAATGTATGAGTGTGATCAGTCAACCATCGATGATATGCAACGGCACTCTAGTGGCCGGCGGCGACGTATGACAGTGTGTCGGTGATAGTATGACAATTGCAATGTGGTGAATGCCAGTGTAACATTGGTCTTAATAAAAGACACTAATGACTCCTATTTTGTTAATTTCATAATTATTACTTCTATCTAGGGAGCTCTCCCTATGTAATATATACTTTCTTCGTCCCATAAAGTTGTTCTCATGTTAAATTTAAGAAAATTTAAAAGAAAAATTAATTTTTCAAAAAATAAAAAAACGATATGATGTGATACATATAACAAAAATTAGTAGAGGTAATAATGATTTTTTTTAATAATAGAAAAAGAAATGAGTTCGTGGGACGCAAACATAAAACATGTTAGAGAGGGAGGGAGGAGTAGGTAGGTAGGTAGATACCGGAAGTGAGGGGGATTGGAGGGCCAGAGGGAGGGAAGCCTAATGGAATGGGGATGAACCCCAAGAGCAAACATGTTGCACCAGTCCAGTTTCTGGTCTTGAGAGAAGACGAAGGCCTGGCCATACCCCTGTATCCCTCCCGGGGCCATCGCGTACTTCCTCTTCTCCTCCACCGGCTGCATGAAGAACTCCATGGCCAACCTCTCCATCTTCTCCAGCAGCCCCTTCTCAACCCCATGATTCACTACCTGCATTCATTCACATATCATCATCATCATCATAATTAATAACAAAGAGAACATGCATGCATGATGATATGAATATTATTATTACTTGAAAGAATCCCCAATGCTGGCAGGCATGAGAGAGGTTGGAAAGTTCGTCAAGGAAGAGGGGAGAGTTGACGCCGTCAACTGATGAGGTGATCAACAGTTTGCTTAAATCAATGACTGGGATTTTGATGGTGTACTCTTCTTGTTGTTGTTGTTCTTCTTCTTCATGATGATCATCACCGCCACATGAAGAAGAAGAAGAAGAAGAAGAAGAATAGGCGGCGGGTACGACTACTGTTGGCCTGGTATCAGCACCGGGCGCCGTGCCTCCTTTCACAAACCTCTCAGGAATGACAACACTGCTTGCCGGAGACGAAGAAGATGAAGAGAGTTGTGCCTTGCGCACCAACTCTTGTACGTCTTCCACCTGATGATGATGATCACAAGCACCCATTATATTATAGTATTACTGATCGATCGATGAGTTATTAATTATATATATTGATCTGATGTGATCTAATCTATCTATATATATACGTACTGGAATTTTTTTAAAGGATTGATGGATACGAATATATATATATATAATGATCCCAATTTATAGGCAAACTACTTAGCTGCTACGTAGGTGGTGACAAACTACTATATATGCACCTTGCTTCAAGTGTGTGGTGCATGGGTCTCGCCTACTGCTTGTACTTTATTTTGTTAGTAAATTATGTTACCCAATTTACCTAAATAGTACAAAAACATAGTTATTTTTCTAATGTAAAACTATACGTTTTTATTTCCCTATGTAGAACCACTGTTCAAGTAAATATCGAGCGTCGCTGAACATTGTTCAAACTAAATATCCATCATCACTGGACATTGTTTCCGCCACTAGACATTATTCAAGTATTTTTTAGACAATAAAAAATTTAAGTACTACATTGAGAAATGATATATGTTTTAGTACAAATTTCTTTATAATTGGAGGATTTTCCTTATTTAGTCTATATTTATCAAATATTATATGTTCACTATCATTATTAATTAGGGACCATTTAATGTTTGGTCTTCCATCTATTTTTAATTTCCGTCTCCATGCCGTTAGAAAAGGACTAAACGTGGAATGGTACCCAATCAATAAGGATCGTGAAAATAATATTTGATAAATATGGACTAAATATGAAAAATTAAATCCCTACTTATAAAGAACTATTTACAGAATTTACTCTTTTAAAACTAAATTGATTTTATCTATAATTTAGTATACAAATAAAAATTACAAATTATATACTTTGTATTTAAGAGCTATATCACAAGTATGACAACGAAAAAAATATTTTATTTTATCAAAAGATTAATAAAAACACATAAGTTAACAAAACTTATCGAATAATAATAAAAGTTTAAATCATTAAAGTATGGTGAAAAGGAACAATTAACAAGCATATACCGCAAATTGTCATGTTCTTTAACATAATTTAATTAGGGAGAGGTTGATTAGTGCGTGAAGCAAAAACAACGGCTCTTTTGACATGCCAAAATGTTTGGAAACTCCTCCTAATATTCTACCCACTATCTTTATACTTTCTCAAATTCACTCCATGATATAAATTTGACATTCCCAAAGAGTAATGATAATTTCGAACAAAATAGGAAATCCAATTTAACATATTGAAAAAAGAATACTACACTCCAATAATACAAAGACCATATATGGATTTAGGAGTGCTTGTTTGGTACACCTTCGATGCATATCAATTTTGTGGATCTTCTCACATAAAAATTCTTTTTATTTTATTTTTTATTTAAAAAAATTGAATACTTATGTAAATAATAAAGAAATGCTTATTTTACTCATATGTAGATAAAAATTGCATTAAAAAAGAGGAGGAGCATGGTTGACGGAGATGGATGGAAAACTCCTATATGTTGCAGAATTCATATTCAATACACACCTAAAATTCTGAATGTTGATTACAAATAATGGTCAGATACACTAATTTCTAAAATCTCTCCTAAATGTATCTTTAAACACTTTTCTCCAAAATTTAAAATTGCTCAAGAGATTTCTTAACAATAACAGTTACAAACATTCCAACCAAACAAGATCTTAATCTGCACCAATAAACATCATTCCAAAATCCAAGACTCATAATGCTAGTCCCAAATGGACATCATTGCAAAATATTCTCCTCCGTTTATATATACATATATATATATATATATATATATATATATATATATATATATATATTGGAAAATACAAAAGAGGCATATATTTTTTCACCGTTGTGTGCAAAGGGTGATGAGTTCAATTGAATGATTACATCACCACAAAGAACGCTTACAAGTTACAAGTGGGTCGAAATATATATTGGCAAAGTCAAAAGTTTGAGGCCAAAGTGGCTTTGTATTGGCTTATTTGTCAACTCTCTCCTCAAAATTATGGATCCTATTGTAAAATTTAACAAAACATGCCTGCCATATTTTTACCCCCTCTTGGAGCTGGAACATCTTCTCCTTTTTTTTTGAGGGGAGAATGTAGTTCATAGGGTTAATAGCATGGGTACCCCCGTATACTTAACAGAATAACAGGAGAATATATCTTCTCTATTTTCAAAAGTTATATGTAAAATATCTATGGTTTCAAAATGGTGCACACATGCCACCTGAACTATTTTTAACTTAAAATGACATGTATGCCCTTCTTTATCTCTATCATGAAGTTATTTTTTCACTTTTAATTTTCTTGTTTATTCAAATAAATAAAGTAACATATATGGTCTCCATCTCAAATTAAAAATTTTCATTTATTTATTTTTAAAAACAAAAGATTTTTTTTGGAGATTGCTAAAAAATGAAATAAAGTACTATGTACTAAGTAAAAGAAAAAAAAGACACGAAAAGTAATGAAAAAGAAAGTAAAAGGAAAAAGAACTAAACTAGAAGTAAAACATGGAAAAATATCAAAATAGGAGTTTCATGTTTTTTATATCCAGAACAGGGGTACAATGCCAATAATGCCAATATATAGTACCAAAAAATACAATGATATGTCATTATACAAGAACATAACGTCACAATGTAAACTTCTATTTTAGTAATAAAAATATAGAATTCTTATTTTAAAGATAAATATTACTTATATTTTACTCCCATTTCGGTGATTTTCTTGAAGAACAAATAAAGAACTGTTTTTTTTATTTTGCTTCATATTTTATTTCATCTTTTTATTCTTCATTTATTTAATCCCAAAAAAGTGGTTTTAATTTTTAAAAATAAATAAGTAAAAAATTACTTCATCTAAAAAATAATGTCACAGTTCATTATTCAATAATCACGAAAACTTTTTTTATTTTTACATTTTTATCGATTATTTGATAAAATAAAATATTATAGTCACTTCTTGTTTTGAAAAATATTTGACGTAGTCTTTATTTTTATACCGATCTTTAAGAAAAATGAATTGAAAAATATTAAATTTTGCTTCATTTTGCGTAATGTGACAAACATTTTGAAACGAAAGAAGCATGTTATTTTTTTTATTTTATTTATTGCACTTTTAATTGAAATAAAGAGGGTAGATTTCTTATTTTTCTTTCATAACATCTTTCGGTTCTTTTTTCTTTTACTCGGTACAGAGACTTCTATTTCATTTTTCTATTTTTAATTTTCTTTTGTAAAGTTCTCTAAAAAGATTATTTTGTTTTGAAAAATAAACAAATAAATTTTTTTAATTTGAGATGAAGAGTGCATATGTTATTTTAATTGTTTGTATAAACAAGGTAAATTGAAAATAAAAGAGTAAACTTTATGATAGGGAGAAAGAAGTACATAAATGTCATTTTAAGGTTAAAATAAGTTAGAGGGCATGGGTACACCATTTAGAAACCATAGGGATATTACAAAGAACTTTTGGAAATAGAAAGGATTCTGTGCCCTTTTGGGAAGGAGAGAGTAATAAAGTTATATACGGAGTAATATTTTACATGATAAATATAATTCATTTATCTTTGAACAAATATGCAATGCAATTTTTGATTAATTGGTTATCAAAGTTCATCGTAGGCAAAGAGACTGGGACAAAGGAGTATATGGGAATCATATTTGTATTTACATAGAAGGGCTCATTTGGGATATCCATTTGGCCAGTTCAAATTCTCAAAACCAACATATTAGACATTCATTACAAATTTACAATCTTCAAAATTGTAATACTCCGTGAAAGAAAAGGTGTTGCGGAGAAAATTAATCGTCTAAAATTAGATAAAGTTGTACACTGATGCAAAAATAAAAAACATAGTTCATAGGTCTTACAATAATAGTTACCCTGCTCGACGTCTTACACAGTATCATGAGAACAACGTCCGAACTCTTGTTAAACAATACATCATGAAACGGCAATGAGTCTGAGATGGATGTTATACTCATGTTCCATTGCAAAGATTGATAATGTAAATTCCAAAGCACTATACCCTGCAAGGAATTGAAGAAAGAGATTCAACATAAATATTAAATAGTTCAGACATTACAATACTTATGATATTGCAGTGTGCATCTTCTAGTACCACGGTGTAAGAACGTGTCGCAAAGACCGGGAGGGTCATAACTTGTGTGCTGTAATTGTGTGGTTTGTTATGTCCATTGCGAGACCTAAAAGAGACATTTTTTACAATGGACTAAATTAAAAAGACACATTTAACTTCTCTAGTTTCTTTCTATGAAGTTTTAAGCGTAAATGCATCACAGGTAACAATAACATCTCTGTTTTTTTCATGGGCAAGGTTGTGTACATTTTGACCCTCATACTCCATCAGCATTGGGCTATCCTGGGTTTGTTGTTATTGTTGTTGTAATTGTGCAATTTGTACCACATATCAATCCAAGCAAAGAAACTATAGAAGAAAGAAATTTGGACCAAAGTATCAAAAATAAGTACTCTGTAGTAGCTATATGGAGCCAAAAAAAACAAGGATGTAGCCAATAAATTTGACATATACTCCCTCCATCTTGAAATATGGTTTCACAATTGACCGGACACTTTTTTTTTTTTGGGGGGGGGGGGGACATACAGACAACGAAATGAGAAAACTTTTCATGGGAGAGAATACACAGAGGGGATAAAAGAGTTGAACAGAAATAAACAGCAAGGGGGTGTTTGTTTTTCTGCCAGAAAACCTTCTGGCGTCTTTTGTCTGCGCCGCGCAGACGCGCGCAGATGATGAGCTCTGCAGATTGTTTGTTTTTTGGAAGACATTTCACTCAAAAAGGTCTTCCTGGCATCTTCTTGAAGAAGACATTAACCAATGTCTTCTAACATCTTCTAACATCTTCTCCTTTTTTTGTACTTCTCTTCACCACCACAACCGTCCACCGCCACCGTCCACCACTACCACCGTCCACCATCACCGTCACCGTCCATCACCATTGTCGTCCACCACCACCGCCACCATCCACTGCCACCACCACCACCGTCCACCACCACCGCCGTCAACGTCCACCAACACCCTTCACCACCACCCTCCACCACCACCACAATCATCCATACACCACCACCGTATACTACTACCATTAATTTATATAGCAATCTACAGACATTAAAAAACAAACAGTCTTCTTCTTGCAGACCACAGACCTTCGGTCCACCACTTCTCTTGCAGATGTCTACAGTAGTGGTCCGCAGACTGCAGACCTTTTCCTGCAGAAAAAACAAACACCCCCCAAGAGTAATGACTAATGAAAAGACCTAGTTGTTTCCAATAAATACGGAGTAATACCCTATCCGTCCCAAACATACATTTCTCACTCTCCTTTTTTGGACATCATTGCAGAAAATGCTTCCCACATTATTTCCTTTTAAAGTAATGAGCATGTGGCTCAAAAGATATCTCTCTAATCAAACAAATTCTAACTATACACTTTTTACTTTTCTTCAACACTGTGAAAGTCAAATTAGGTAATGCTTTTTGGGACGAGGGGGTAATAATAATAATACTAATAATAACAATAATAATGATATCAAATAATAGTAATAAGCGCACCTGAATCTTGTAGCCACTGCTCTACAGAGTACAAACCAAATCCCAGTAGCAACTAGTAAATGCATAAATCAGAACTATTACTGTCACCCTGAAGTCGGTTATATAAATCTGTAATTGCACCACTCAACCAACACACAAGAGGAAGCCACGAACCTTATGAGTTATGAGCAAATACTCTGCAAATTAGACCTTACGAATTGTTTCAAATATGAATACATTACACCACTTCAACAAGAAGCAGACAAACTAGGAAGGTTGAACAAGATAGCAGATATGGTGACAAAAATGACATTTTTTTCACTTATGTACATTGATGCCTAGTAAAAATGAGGAATTAAGAGTAGTCAAACCATGAAGAGATATAGACAACACTTCCACTGCAGCAAAAGTAGAATCCATTGAGATGCTTGAAAATGGGGCGTACACGTTTATCACCACGTGAAGGTCTCATGGTGCAACAAAAATAGCATTCACATTTCACTTGAAAACCCTACGATAGGTGCCTAGGAAATACTTTGGTGTGCTACTCTTGAGTGGGATATACTAGGCTTGTTTGATTAGGTTTAGGACAAGTAAACAACAACTGCAAGATATCAATTTATCAATGTATGCTGATTGCAAATGGTGATGAATCCATAGAAGAGTATAATGTATGTTGGAAATATTGAGATGAAAGTTAGAATCATGAAGGTCTAGGATAAGTGTAAAATAAAAATTTTGAACTGTGAACTTGGGGCTTGTTCTCTTCAACTTATCTTTTTGGTTCTCATCTAATTCGATTAAGTTCTCATCTGATCTGATTATAGTTATGTTTAAAGTTATTTCTGATATGATCTGATTATAGTTATATTTAAAGCTTTTTCTGATATGATATGATTCCAATAAGAATAAGTAATACTCCTTAAGTATAAAGAATAAGTTGAAGAGAACAAGCTCTTAGCCCAGTCAAAAATTTAAAAACATAGTGGAGAGAACTTAGATGGAAAAGAATTACCTATAAGTCTTGTATCCGAGATATATAACTCCATCCACCCCCTTCTTATTTTCCCCATTTACTTTCTATGTCGTCCCTAATTAATCTTCATTTTTGCTTTAAGGAAAGAATTGTGGTCTATATTAATTCTTTCATTTCTACATAAATTTCAACATCGCAACTTCATATTCTTTGAATTCATGTAAAAAAAATGAGAACATTAAATAGGGGGGAGGATCTTCTAGGGGTGGAGGCAATGTTTTCAAAACTCTAAGACTGTAGTTCTGTGCAACCACTATCATATGCTTTACTCTAGATTTTGATGTTGGGCTATAGAGAAAAATCTAATAAAGTAGATGAGTGTAGTGGAGATGTGTGTTAAGATAGATGTGCGGTACTGCTTGAAAGATTGAGTTTCCAGAAATGTGATTTGCATGAATGTGAGCATACTGACTACTGAAGTGAAGGAGAAATGACTAATTTGCCTCTGGAAGGTAAGTGCCAGCAAGGATAGTCCTGAAAATAACATTGACTAAAGGTGTAAGTATAAAGACATTGATGCATTGGACTGTTATCCCTGTTGAGTAGGTCTCTAAGTACATGACAGAAAATAGTGGATATTGAAGACACTACTTGATAACCTCCACATATACTCTATTGGTTCATGTAGCGGACCCTAGTGATTTGAGATTAGGTATTGCCCTAATGGTTGGAGATTATTATGTCCAATCTGCCCGGGAGAGGTAATCCTCAATGACAAGATCTCTAAGTCCATGTAAGAAAAAAGTAGAAACGAAGATCTTTGTGGATAACCTCCCAATATTTAATACTTGCTAATGTAGGCGTGTAGCATGCCCAAGTCATTTGGAATTAAGGCTGGTTTGTTGTTGTTGTTGTTGCCATGTTGGCAATTACTGCCAAACGAAGCATTGGTCAAAAATAGTGCAATTGTCAATAAAATAGAGGCCACCTAAGCATAAATATATAGTGCCAAAGTTTAGGCAACTTACTTTGTGGCATACTGGTATGGCAGCAATTAATTGCACATCCAAATGAGACAACCAAGCCAAGCCTGTTTGGAGTCATATCAGAAGCACAAAATTTAAACACAATATTCACCTGGAAAAATGATGGCCTGACATGATATTCCATTTTTCATCCTTCATTGCACAACCTAAAATATACTCCGTATATTGAATTACATACCTGAGGCAATATCCCTGTAAAATTATACTCTTGTCCCATAAGAAGGTTCCACATTTACTTTTTTGTTCATCCCAAAAAGGTTCCATTTTCCATTTACGGAAAACTTCATGTGGCTCATATTAATTCTCAAATTTTCTCCTTACACCACTTTGAACCACACAGTTCCACTTTTCTTAATAAGAGGACCGATTCGATCATGGAACCTTTTTGTGGGACAGAGTATGCAAACTGAAACATTGTTGCATGAAGGGCATCATCTCCATTATATATGTTTGTGTGTGTGTTTGTGTGTGTGACCTTTTGGAACCAAAACCACCACCAAAGTATATGGAACCAGGAAGTATATTCAACTTTTGATAAAGAATGGAGGATGTAAACGGCCTCAAAGCATTTATATCTATGCTAAGAATGGATCGTTCAATCTACATTGGAACTGTATTCTCGATTCTCGACATATGTCACCTAAGCTTTCTAGGTCTCTATAATCCTATTTTCTCAAAATCCTAACCAAAACAAAACTAGTTTCAAAATTGCATCTTACATGAAATCTGCCCTTGTCCATGAACAAGCATAAATTATACATCCCCCCCCCCCAACCAATAAATCTCAGGTTGATCGCAGTATGTCCTCGTCATACGGGAATAGTAAATAGCCGAATACTCAAAAAATTAGGATAATAGAAATCAATCCTGCTTTGTACACATGTACATAAGGATAGCAAGCACTTAATTGCACGCATCTTCACCAACTGCAAAATGCAATTCCAGGATCACATCCTGCATTAACAAGCTTGCTTGTTCAAGGAGTAGACTATATACACAGTTGTCTTATCTATTTCCACCAATACTTTGACGGTTGATGGCCTCGATTGCAAGTCGCACCAAACGTGTAAGCTCCTCTACGTCCTGGAAGCTGAAATCAATAACTCTTTTAACAGATGAGATAGCCTCCATATTTTGAGCCTCTTCGAATATAATATTAGCAGCTGCAAATGCATTTTGAGCTCTTCTGGATGCCTCCATGGCAGCATTAACATCCTTAGCCTGCAAGATAGTATCAAAATACTTACTACCTTCAAACAGCATCATATTAACAGAAGCTGGACAATATGTGTCAAAAGTATTCCAAAACTGAAACACCATTAGAACAAGCATTAAAGGCATCAGTCAGATGGTGAACATGAATTGAAACAATAATATAATCATAAACCCCCAGCATTGAATTAATGAATGCCACAAGCTACCCCACCCACACCACCCCAGTAAGAGACAGGGACACTGTCCAGTCGCTTTATTCTCCTACACGTCCAGAACTCACTAGGTATAAAAGGTTCACATGATAAATTTCCACTGCTTCCTGTCTTTAGCCATTTTGATTTCAAGGAATATGAAATTAATTGTTATACTCCCTCCATTTCAATGTGTTCATCCGCTTTGCTTTTGGGACATAAACCAAGGAGAAGGAATTTTGTTGGAGAGGTGACTGTAATGCCCTTCCATCTCTTTGGTCTCACCCAATGATATACAGATCTTTCGGATTGGGCCAAAGTGAACGGTGGAGGATTCGAGTTCTTCATAGGTGAACTCTGGCAAGAGAAGAGTGTTAGCGTGGTGGCGGTGGAGATAGACAACAGTGGCGAAAGTGATCAGACAACACACAAACAGAAACCCGAAGCTCAGGAATGAGTACTGGATCCACAGCCACCGATCAGTTGAAACGTGTTTTCGATTAGCCAGCACTCCCACCCGCAGCAGCTCCAGTCGGGGATGACAGCCAACAGGCAAGGGCGGAGCGGAGCAGGAAGAGTCTCAAACCTCAAATGGTGACCAAAGAAATTAACCGATCTCTACGGGATCAAGCAGTGGCTGTGATGCGGCGACAGTGGCGGAAAAGCAGGGGAGATCAAGAGCGAGCTGGAGCCATAGCGAAGGAGAGTAAAGGAGAGATTGGTGATAAGGGGTAAGGAGGGGCAGAGATGAACGACGGATGAAGAAACAGGGGCAGAATGGTAGGAAAGCGGACAGGTACATCGGGAGGGGCCACAAAGGAAAACTGGACAAACACATTGGGACGGAGGGAGTAGCAATTTAGGGCCATTTGATAGTATTAATTATGGGCAAGAATATTTTTTGCATGAATTCAGTGGTTAACTAATTTACTTTTGGACCATTTATTGACTATATTTCGTGTTGCCAACCACGCATAGTTTGGATTAAGGTGATGATGAGGATGATCAATGATAGCATTATTACACCAAGAAGTAAAGCATCAAAATAATGGCACTTCTACAGTTTCACTGTGAATAATCTTACAAAGTCGAGCAACCGAACAAAACTCGGACGGTTTGAAGGAGCAATAACATGAGTTTCATGGTGAGAACCATTCATCACTTTAGATAGAGCAGTCTTGTCGGTTATTGCTTGATTGTTTGTGTTATCAACATCAGACGCAGAAGATGAAGGAGATTCACCTGAATGAACAATGTAGACAAATAATTTATTTGAACAGCATGTTACACAAAAATAGCATAGATATAATTTGATTGGTGGAGTTGCACATCCATATTTGAGAAAATGTACTTCAAAGTGCGCATCAAAAGTAGGAAATGCTTGAATATGAGAATGATGAGTCTTGGGCACTAAAGCAGGCAGGAGTATGACAGTTCTATACAACACTATGTAATCATAAGTTTGATATTTGTGTCATCTTTGATGCGTACATTTTTTCTTAAATTGTTTTAGGTGGAGGATTTGTCAAGGATGTATAGGCTTTTCTCGAAAATACCTCGAGGGTTAGAACCTGTTGCTAATACTTTTAAGCAGGTCTGAATTCTCACTCCTGCTCTCTATCTGAAAGCGTAACTCAAAATAAAAATTCTGGCTAGATTTTGTGAAANGCAGTCTTGTCGGTTATTGCTTGATTGTTTGTGTTATCAACATCAGACGCAGAAGATGAAGGAGATTCACCTGAATGAACAATGTAGACAAATAATTTATTTGAACAGCATGTTACACAAAAATAGCATAGATATAATTTGATTGGTGGAGTTGCACATCCATATTTGAGAAAATGTACTTCAAAGTGCGCATCAAAAGTAGGAAATGCTTGAATATGAGAATGATGAGTCTTGGGCACTAAAGCAGGCAGGAGTATGACAGTTCTATACAACACTATGTAATCATAAGTTTGATATTTGTGTCATCTTTGATGTTGAAATCCCAGCAATTAGACATGTGTTCAAATAATACACTGAAGATATCATATTTTTATGTTACTACCATTAACAAAAAAAAAATATAACAAATTTATAACAGTCCAGAGATCACATGAGAATGGTTATCACCTTGTGGGGGCATGGGCATTTGCAAACTAGCCTGCATATCAGGCCAAATTCGACTTGCACTCATGTTTTTGCAATAAACTACCCTCATGTATGCAATCTCCATGCACTTATAGGCCAAAGCAGCAGTGGCCATTTCTTGGCGTTTCTGATATTCATTTGCACAAGTTCTGCAGTTTTATTGAAGTACATTACAAAAAGAACAGAGTAGAAAATAAAACAACAGTCCAATTGGATCCCACGAGAGTAGGGTCTAAACAAGTTGTAGAAAATATATTTTGAAAAATTAAGTTAGATTAGAACTTTAGTACATACTATAATGCTAATAGTTTTCAAAAGAAACTACACATCCTAGTAGAATTACTACCACGATTTGGAAATGTTCTAGAAATACTTTATTCTTACGCTACTTGTTTCTTTTCTTTTGTTCTTTGTGTTTGTTTTGTTTTGAGCGGAGGATCTCTTGGAAACAACTTCTCAACACTCCAATTACAAGTAAGGTCTGCGTACGCCATAAACTTACCCTCCGCAGACCTCAAGTTGTGGAATTTCACTAGGTTTGTAATTGTTGGTGTCTTAGGGCTTTAGATATACTTGGCAACATCATGTTTGAAAGAGTAAAAAACACGTGTTAATATGTTGGAGAATAAATACCGAGTAATACTTTAAAAAAAATTGCAAGGCCAGATTAGGGGATACACTGATCTAGGGATTAGGGAATATTTATGATGATTTTATGAAAACATAAAGTATGCAAGGTAGAATAGTATAAGAATTTTTTTCCATAGAAGCTGAAATCCCTGCAAGATTACCAGGCATGATTACAGCCATCAAAGTAAATAAATTAAGGAAATAAAGCATCCGTAAAGCTTAAAATTTACAGCTTTCCCAAAACAGATGGCAATAAGTTTTTTAATTTTTGCCTTCAAAGAATGCACTTGTAGATCATTGCCTGAGAATTAGGAAAGTTGCACTTACTCGCAAAGTTTTGCTGTATTAGTATAGATTTGGATTTGATTCGTCTCCCGATATTTATTACTATCACCACTGCAGATTTCTAGAAGTGAAGCGCCATAAAGAAACTTCAAAGCAGCTTGGAAGTATGCCTCATTATATTCGAAATTGAATCCAGTGCTCTGCATAGAACATTTGATTAATTAGAGAACATTTGAATGCAAATGAACACAGCTTTTCAACATGATCTTAATGATGACGGAAATATGCAAGTATGCAACATTGGGTTATAGTGTTAATGAGAAAGAAAAAAAGAGGAAAACTTTAAGAACCTTAAGACGGTCAGCGTAATCTCTGAGTTCTTCTGCTTCTCTCAAGACACTAGAAGCAGACTGATTGGAGGCATCCCTTTCTGAACAGTTTGGAGCATTCATGTTCCTAATTGCACTATGCACTGGAATAAGATGCCCTGTGCTGTTTTGGGTGCCGTTGTGGCAAACAACAGGACCAGTAACTTTTGACATTTTTGATGAAATACCAGCAACACAAGAATCCTTAGTTTGTGGATCCACAGGAGATACTTTGTGGAGCAATGGAGGTCTGCTGGCACCAGTTGAAGTGGCTTGCTTATCACCTGCAGACAGGTCAACTCCTGCCTTTTCCTCCCTCAAGCTCATTTGACTTGATCTTTCCCTCAGAATAGTTTCAGCTTCAAGCTCCGGATTTGGCTTTTGCTGAGTAGGAGCCTTCACATCCATGTTACACGAAGCATTTGATTTTGCATTTGACCCGTTTAACTGGTTATCTCTTCTCAGCCCAGTTGGTTTAGCAGTAACCAAATGGTCAACATTCTTACTATTTCCAAGCAATTTAGTGTCATACTCAAGATGATTATGAGTACCGTCAGTCTCTTCCTTCAGACTCTGAAATGGTTTCAAGCCTAGATTATCAACTGGACGATCAGAGAGCTTCTCTCCATTTTTTTGAGACCCAAAACCAAGATCCTTGTTTTTTTCTTTGGATCGAACTGTTAAATTTTTCCCAGCTTTCTGTTTGGGTAAAAGGTTCTTCATCCTATCCTTCCTATCATTAGAATTTGCAGCATGCATACATTCCCCTGATAGAACAGCATCACTCATACCTAAATGGGCACTTCCAACACCAGGAGAAAGCTTCACATCCGTATTGAACTTTTCTCTGGCATTTATGTCTGGAAGATGTACCACAGAACTATCAATAACCTTGGCATGAATGATATGATTCCTCTTTCTCGATTGCCCAGACCCATTGCTCACGAAATTGGTATTGCAACCCATATACTTTTTGGGGCTTCCCAACAAAGTGATATCATTATACTTACCATCATCTTTCTCAAAAATATGCTTTCTTGTGGATGAAAGACTATTCAAATTGCATGTCCTCATTGGGGATGAAGAAACTGACTCTACAGGAGAGCCTTTCACTTTGTCATTAGATCTTCTCTTACGGGGATCAGAAACTTTTGAAGTGCTTGAAGTGGCAGTTGTTGACAATTCTTCATACCCCAAATCCTTTCTCAAGGAATCAATATCATCGAGAGTTAGCTGAGGTTTCATCTTTACCTTACACTTCTTCACCTGCTGGTCTTTCATAATTCTACTAACAGGACTGTTCCTACTCTTTGGCAAGATAATTTTGGTCACCACACCATTTGCTTTTGATTTTTGCTCACTCTTGCTTGTACTGGACTCATTTGCTTCAGTGTGAGACACCTTGCATTTCTTGTGTTTCTTGAATCCACCATTGCTGCTCTCGTCCTTGATTGACACTTTGCTAACTCCAAGATGACCCACATCATTTTGCAATGTCTCCAAACAATCTTTGTTCTCAAATTTTCTTTTCTTCGTAGATATTTCCCTTTCATTACAAGCCTTTATATCAAAAGACCCATTATCAAGAGAATCCTGCACATGATCTAGAGTTTTAACAGAGACACGTAATCCACCCCCTATATTATTAGACTTTGTTTCCTTCAAAGGCACATGGTTCTGGTGCTTCTTGATATACTTCACATGTGCCTTAGTAGGCAAATCCTCCATTATTAGGTCCTTGCTAGAAGCAATGTCATTAACAGCTTTTATCTTCTTCACATCCGTATAGTCAGACAAGATGGGATCTCTTTTTATTTTCTTTCTACTTTTTTCATCGCCTGCAAAGAAATCATAGGAAGTGTTTAATCAAAGAGACGCAGAAAACATTAATATAAAAAAAAAAGTTAAGTGACGACACAAATAACATACCCATAACAACATGCTCACTCTGTTCAGTGAAATCCCTGTCACTGAATTTGTTTGAAATTGACCCTCCTGGAGGCTGGTTCACATTTGCCAAATATCTACCTTTTGTCATTTCTACATGGGTGTTCTTTGTTAAGGTTGTGGCCACAATTGATTCACCATTTTCACTTTTTTTTACTTTATGCTTTTTACTTCCAGAATTGGTCATGTGATTAGCAGTCTGCGTGTTACCACCAAAGTGACAAACATTTGCTAAATTTGCCACACTTTCAGTTTTAGCAACATGATTCTGAACGTTATTGGGGTTCTCATGGAGTGGAGCATACAAAGCATTAAGAGCTGCAGTTGTTTCATCCTCACTAATATCACAGCTGTCCATTCCAGGCCTAAAGCATCAGAAGAAATGAACATTATAT